TAGCAACTCCTGATTTAAAACTTCTGGCTCTGTCTTAGCACAGCGAAATGAGCTGTCGGGATTTAGAAATCATCTAAAGACCCATCTCTTCCGTCAGGCGTACCCAGCCAGTTTTTAATAACAAACTTCAAACCCATGTCTTGTCTTTCAATCTCTGTTTTGTGTATTTTAATATGTGTTTTATATACATGTTGTAATATGTATCTTTTACAGAAATACATGTAATATGTATATATTTATAGAATTTTTGCAATACTGATGTGTTTTAACTATGCTGTAACTTGCTTCAAGGAGAGGTGGGTAAGAAATAAAATTATTATTATTATTATTATTATTATTAATAATGAAGCACAACATATTATTATTATTAACTTTATTTATACCACACCTTTCTCCCCATGGGGACTCAAGGTGGCTAATATGGCATTTAAAAATTATCCCCCAATCCCACCCAACCTCCCCAAATCCTGCCCCTTACCCTTCTCCAAATGCCTGTTGGCAGAAGAAAGTCTTGACCTGCCTGCGGAAGGCCAGCAGGGAGGGTCCATCTTGGTTTCCCTTGGGAGTTCCATAGTCTGGGAGCCACCACCAAAAAGTCCTATTATAGGCAATTGCATAGTAAAATGGCACCCCTTATATAAAATGGCAAAATTAAAATTCCTTTTTGGGGGGGATTTTTTGTTATTTTCCAAGTTGTGGATAATTGAATCCATAGATATGGAGGGTTGCTAGACTTTGTCAAGGTTTTTTTTTTCATATTTCATGCAGCTGTGGTTGATGTTCAATGCTTAATGACATCGTTGGGCTGCCTTTTACATCACTCCTAGATCTCACATTTTGGTCTAGAAATCTCAATCCAGAGATAGACTTGAATTTGCAATGTGACCTGAGTGTGAATGGACTAGTTTGATTTTTTTTTAAGGGTACCTGTGTGGAGAACAAAATTAACCCACCTTCCATTTCCCTTCTTGTTCTCAGTAGGTCTAAGGCAAGCATGGGCAAACTAAGGCCTGGAGGCTGGATGTGGTCCCCTCAGGCCCTCCACATTTTTCCAGTCCTCTTGGCAGAAGGACACAGCAGCCCACCATGTCCTTATGCCAAAAAGATAGGGGAGGAAGGTACATAGCAGGTAAGAGTCTTCTGGAGCACTCTCAGCCGCTGCCTGTCTTGCCCTCCTCCCAGCATAATGTCTTGAGGATTGGGGGAGGAGGATCAGGGCAGTCACCGTGTGTCCCGCCTTCCTCCCAGCATAAGGATGCAGAGAGGACAACCTGAGGGTGGCCAGGATCCTGCCCTGCCCCCTCCTGGCTCCGCCCTCTCCTGGGCCCTCCCCACCCAGCGCATGCCCACCCCACTTCCTCCTAGCCCAGCCTTGATGGCTGGGCCCACAATGCGGCCTCAAGGCAAAAAAGTTTGCCCATGCCTGGTCTAGGGCCGTTTTGGGATGAGGCCTAAAGGACCTAATTAAAGAGGCTACTGGTTCTTATTTTCAGTCCATATCCAAGACATGTAAAACTGCTTGATAAGCTTTCCTTTTTCCTTTTCTCTAGCCAACTTTTAAAAATACCTTTGTTTGATTAGGAAACCTTTTGTTTCAAAACCTTGCACCAAGATTTTGTGCCCTAGGCAAATGGCCTCATCAGATGAGCTGCTGGAATCACCACTACACATCATGGCGAATCCAGTGATGCCTGCCGGGAGTCATGGGAAACCCACTGCCCAATGCCCCGCATCGTCAGACTTACCTGTTGCCCCACCTATGGGGGGAAGCATCATCTGCCAAGCTTCCCCCCCCCTCCCCCAAATACAATACAACACAAGAATCCTTGTGTGTTGCCGCAGTGGTGGCATGCATCAGTTCATCTTCACTTTTACAATAAAGCCCCACCAGAAGCAGCTCTGTGTTGCAAAAGTAAAGATGAAGTGGCACATGGTGCAGAAAAGTACCCCATCTGATGAGGTCATAATAAAAATGTTATCATACTATTGAGTTTGGAATACGTGCTCATTACGGTTACCCCTTGTTCTTACTGTTTCTACTGTTAATTCATATCACTTAATTCATATGACTGAAAAATGTAGAGTAAAACTTTCCTTTAGAAATTACATTACATACTCCATCAATGTTCTTTGAATGCCATAGGTAAAAGGAAAAGGATTGGTTGTCCTCCCACCCCCCTTTGAGTTTTTTATGAAGTACTCTATCTTTATCTCGATCCAGAGGATCCGGTTCCTCAAGATTTTTTTTGCACATTACTCACACACAGAGAATGAATATTTGCATAGTAAAGTCTTTAGGTTGGAATAAGCCCTTGCTATCTGGTTTCATTCTCTTCTCCTCCATGCCCGTCTCAGTTTGTTTGAAGAAAGATAGCATAGTGCTACCAATCGAGTTTCTTTCTAGAGCTACATGGAACAACTGCGAGGTAAGGGAAACATCTACAGCAAGTGCATGGTGTATTATGCTTGGGAAGAAAGCTGATATCTAATTAGATGATAGAAGTCCCTTTAAAGTTATATTCAAAAAGTTTTAACAAGAGGATTTGATTATAAAATAATCAGATTTTGTAGGAGAGTAATAAGGTGGAGGATGGTTTTTGAGAGTGTATTAAAACATCAGCCTCAGGAGCCAATACTTGGAGTCTGTTGTGCTGGCATTAAAAAAGTAGCTAATATGTTCGGTGTGAAAAGGTCAGGATTAGATGTACAGTGCACTATTTGACGAATTACTCATACAATTCACAATGCCTTTCAACCTGTACAAAATATACATTGCTTACCACTGAAACTGAAGAAAGAAAAATTCCTTGGGAAATGAGAATACAAGAGGGAAGGGCCAGCTGTCAGGCTTCTCCTTTGGAACTCTGTTCTGGGTTTATATCAGGCATAGGCAAACCTAGGCCCGGGGATCGGATGTGGCCCCTTTGGCTCTTTCTCAAGCCCTCCTCTTCCCCAACATCATATCCTACCTTCTCTCTTTCCTCCCTCCTTCCCTCTCTCCCTCTTTCTCCTTCCTTCCTTCCCTTCCATCATTCTTCCATACTAATTTGAAACTGTAGGCACTTCCAGACAGCACAAAATGCAGAACTAAAAAGAGGGGGGGGAGGGCAAAAAAAAAAACCTGGGACTTCAGAGCAGTTCCCCATACAGACCTGCTGGTCCCAGGCTTTCTTCCCCTGCCATCCTCACCACTTTTCTGTGTCTCACATTTTTTAAAATATACGGTTATGCGCTGATCTGTATATGTGCACATGCAAATATAATAATTATATTAACATGTGTGCATATACAGATCGGTGCATAACTGAGGGAATTTAAAAAATGGAGGGGGCTTCCCAGAGAAAGAGGAGGGATCAACCTGGAGGTATCGTACCCTGGCTTCCTTTAAAAAGCTCTCCCTTCTCTCTTGATTTGAAAACAGAAAGGAGAACTGGTGCTTTGCTGCAGCTTAGAATGCCTTTTCCCCTCTCTTCCTCCACTTCGATCTCCTTTCCACCTCCAAATCAACAGAGAAGGGAGGATTTTTTAAAGGAAGCTAGGCAGGATACCTCCAGGCTGAGTCCTTTCCTGAGAAGCCCTCTTAAGATGCCCTGGAAAACTGTCTCATGTGAGGAAAGAGCTGCGCACTTGCAGCTCCTGTCCCCTCTAGAGTAGTAACAGCTTTAAGGAACCACACTTACAATCCAAAAACGATTCATTTGCCCACCTCTATAATATTTATTAAAGCTCTGTTTACAGTGTTACAGTGTTTACAGTGTTGAATAAAGAGTTTCAGAGAGTTCTAATAGCTCTCAGTTCTTGCTTCCTTTCAATCAGCTGTACATCCGTTTTGACAACCCAATCAGCTGTTTCTGGCCTTTTAAGAGGGACGAACGTCAGCTAGAGCAGTCTACTCAGAGGGAAGGAAAACACATGTTTTTTGGCATGCAGGGTCACACAGACATAAGAAGATGCACATCTTTCAGCCAGAAATCAGATAAAGAGACCTTTTTATCCCATGGTTTCCCTCTGTTGATCTGAATCAGAGTGCATTTAGCGCTGACATTGTGTAGCCACCCCCTTTTGTAAAGCTCTGTCTGGATGGGCCCTGCATTAAATCGTCAGTGAACAATCATTTATTCAGTTATAGACCAAGAAGATGATTCCTTTGAACAGTTAGTACAGATGAGAATCTACTTACACTAGTGGCTAGTACACTGCAGGATTTGGGCTATGTTTTCAGTTGGTTTGCTATAAATTATAAAACCTATATTTTTGTGGAGGTTTCCTGACATGGTTAAAACTGAATAAAACAAGGTTTTATTTATTTAATCCAAATATGATCACATCTGGAAAGCCACTCATATAGTTTGTGTATACATGTCCCTTTGAGTCCTCTCTTGATTTATGGCAACCACACTGTGAATTTCATTGGATTTTCTAAGGAAAGGGATGCTCAGATGTAGTTTTGTCAGTTCCTTGCACTGAAACACAGCCTTGAGCTCCGGATGGTCTTTCATCCAAGTACTGCCAGGACTGACCCTGCTTAGCTTCCAAGATCCAACAGGAGTTGGAGCCTTTGAGGTATTTAGGCCTCCTATGCTTACAGTTTATCTTGCAGAAAATAAGTAGAGTGCCAGAGTAGCATTAGCTATTTAATCTAGAAAGTTTATCGAAAACTATAAAGAGAATGTAAGTGGAGACACATGAAGTTAGTAATGGTTTTCCTTTTGGGGAAGGTATACTGTGGAAACTAAGGAACTTTCCATCTAACAATTCCAGTCTGAAGACCTTTTGCAAAAGACTTGACTCTATATTTATAGAAAGATTGGCTGTGAAATTGATGTGAGGGCATAACCTGGTTTATAACTAGTTCTCTAATTTAGCATGTTACATTGTTAGCCTTACTTGAGAAGTATGAAAGAGCAAAACTGATTTTCATCCACAGGGAGGAAAAATTCACACAACTGAAGGCTATAATCATAAAAAAAAATTGTTTTTTTCTCCCCGTACCTTTGTAGTCTTGGAAGAACTGGAACAAACTATTATCCCCAGCTATGGAGCTGTAACCAACCAGCAGCCACTACACATGCCAGAATGGGTAAGCACTGTTTCACTTAACATTTACTTGATTTTTATAAAAATTTGATACCTCTATGAATATGTCTTCAAAAGTGATCCATGCTAGGAGGAAAGTACCTTGGAATAAACTACTGTATTTATTTGGAGAGATAGAACCAGGTTTTGCAGCTGCTTCAGCTATCCTCTTTTTATAGAAAACTACTTTGATCCATATATTTTCAGGATGGAGGATCCTCCTATCTATTCCCTCCCATGATTATTTTTCTCACATAAAAAGAAGCTTCTTATTGTATTTACTCAAATCTAGTGCACCATCGAATCTAATGCGCACCTCCATTTTCAAAACCCTGAAACAAAAAAAAATGCTAGTTGGTGAATGTAATACACAGCAGCAAAAGGTGCACTCTTTATAATTTGTTCCAAAAAGGTGTGCATTACAGTTGCTGTGCACTTGGAATTCCTTCTTTAAAATTAAGTGTTAGATCACCAAATCTTCCAGAAATGGAAAGTAACACCTGAGAATCAGGTAACCCTTGATGGGAAGAAAAGGAAGATGGGGGAAAATTGCACGGAGGGAAGATGGAAGGAATATAATAAAAAAGAAGAATGAGAAGGAAGAAAAGAGAAGGTGGATAGAGGATAAAAAGAAGGCAAGAAAAGAGGAATAAAAGGAAAGAAGGAAGGAAGAGGAAAAGAGGGAAGGAAGGAAAAGAAGAAAGGAAGAAAGAAATAGAGGAGAGAGGAAAAGAAAAAAGAGGATAAGAAAGAAAGAAGGCAGTAAGGGAAGAAAGAAAAGGAAGGGAGAATGAGGGATGGAAAGAGGATGGAAAAGAGATAGGAAGGAAAGAAAAAGGAAGAGGAAGAGATGGATGACAATAGGATAGAAGGGAGGAAGGCAAGAAAGAAAAGGAAGAGATGGAAGGGTAGAAGGGAGAGAGGAACCAAAGGAAGGAAGGAAAAGAAAGGTGGGAAAACAAAAAGGAGAGAAAGAAGGTTAAAAAGGGCGGGTGGACAGAGACAGCAGGAGTGCGCACTGGCCTCCATGCCTGCTCCAAGATGACAACGATGCTGCCTCCTCCTCTTCCACTCCTGAGGCTTGACCCCTTCATGCCACCTCACCAGAAAAGAGGAGGAGAAGGGGGGCACATGGAGCCTCCTGAAGCTGCTGCTGCTGCTACATGGTGGGTGGTGCTTCTTGCTTGAACTCCTCCAAAAGCTTGGCGCATGGCCCCACAGCTGCCTCACCAGAACACATTGGCTCTGCTTATTTTGAAAAATAGCTGAGCTGCTCTTTCATTCACATACAGTGGAGAACGGTGGTTCCTGGCAAGGTGGCATGAAAGGGGTGGGCCCCACAAGCGGAAGAGGAGAAGGAAGTGAAGGCGGTGGGCAGGGAAGCTGGTGCATGCTCCCACTGCCTCTCTTGTGTGGGCGTGCACCCACCCACTCTTTATTGTATTACTTGAATGTAATGCACATGGTCATTTAACCAAAAAAGGTGCGCCTTAGAATCGTGTTGTTATAAGCTATAGGAGGCCTTTTTAGCAATCTTCTTCTCTTAAATACAGAACTTTACAAAGACGTATCTTCCATTTGTAACTCTTCCATATTTTCCCACCACTTTCATATATATCTTATTAGGGGGGGAAACCATTAAGGAAAAAAGGCAAAGTATCATTGCATGGTTGGGAGGAGTGCTGAGAATCATCCATCTGGAAGTACTCTCATGAGGAGATTGGTTTACCGAGCCATAGTCACAAGACCTTTTACATTGGAGTCTGAGATTTATCTCCCTTTAGAGAATATGAGAAAAGAATTGGTCTTTAATATCTACATTTGTGGAGTACATCCAAGTAAGGAATGAGGATGAAGCTAGTTCAACTTGTTCCTTCAAATTAGATCTCCAATCAGAAGCAGAAATACTGGTAGTTATTGCACTGTTACTTACAGGACTATAAATGAAACAGCTAGTTTTCATTTATGTGAAAGATCCATATTAGCATGCAAGGATTGTACAGGGCTGGAAAATATATTGTATGAAGGGTGCTAAGTGATGAGCAAGAACATAAAGAAATTAACCTAATCCAGCCTTGCGGTTACCATCTTCCTTTTTCAGATAACACAGCAGTTATCATTTTTTTAAACCTTGCACTTTCTTTAATGAAGAATAAAAATGCATCCTAGGAATTCCACGTGGTAATTTAGGACCAAATATGTGGCATGTGAAAACCACAGATTTAAAGTAATTAGCTGCATGCAGACTGTGCGAGAGAGAGCGGGGCTTCTTAAATCTCCATGAAATGTTAGGTACAGTTACACTACACAGTTATAGCCTATTGATTTAACCATTGTGCCTCCATCCTCTGGAATCCTGGGATATATAGTTTGCTGAGCTTTTAAAAATACTATCTCCTGTAAGTCCCATGAAAGATAAAATTGGTGGTCAGTGACTGAACACTTTCAAACCCTCTCTTAACTGCGAATCCCAGGGATTGATAGTTTAGTAAGTTAGTTTGAACTCCCTCCTTTAACTCCCTTGTAACTCCATTGGGTTGAATTATGGCCACTAAAGTGGTATCAAACTGCTGTAATTGTACAGTATGGATACACTCATTCTTTACCTAGTGTATAGTCTGTGATTTTACACATAAAATGACTTCCTTTCCTAATACCTACTTAATGATACAAAAGAGTTCCACTTAATATATATTGAATAAAACCATGCAAAGTTGATTTAATTTTTTGGTAATGCATATATATTTTGATTAATTTGCATTTAATCTAAATGAATAGAAGACATAGTAATTGCTGACTGGAAACATGATTACCAACATTTCCATGAAATTTTGGATTTGCTAAATCACTTAAATAACCAAATATGTGCCCATTTTCTCGCTGCATGATAATAATATGGAGTGCTTGACTAGTCCTGCATCATTTTGTAGCAGTAGCTAATTAGGCACCTATGGGAAGCTGTCTTCCATTAATGTACTGTGACATTTGAAGATTAAATTGATATAGCAAATATTTCATGGACTGTAACTATATGCAGTCACACATACATATCTGATTCCAAAAGTAAAGGTAAAAGCAAATGTTTCCCCTGACATTAAGTCTAGTCGTGTCAACTCTGGGGGGTGGTGCTCATCTTCATTTCTAAGCCAAAGAGCTGGCATTGTCTGAAGACATCTCCAAGGTCATGTGACCAGCATGACTGCTGCCATGGAGCATTGATATTTTCCCACAGAGGAGGTACCTATTGATTTACTCACATTTGCATGTTTCCAAATTGCTAGGCTGGCAGAAGCTGGGCCTAACAATGGGAGTGCAACCCCTGGATTTGAACCACTGACCTTTCGTTCAGCAAGTTCAGCGGCTCAGTGGTTTAACCCACTGCGCCACCAGGGGGGCCTTGATTCCAGAAGTAGCACGTAGTTATTGTGGTTCATAAATAGCCTAGTTCTCAGCAAGTCTGTCTCATTATACATTTGTCAGTTTATTAGAAGGTGCTTTTACATAAGCACCATAATGAGGTTAGAAGCTGGCTCAATGGTGGGTGTCAACAAAAATAAAAATGCTAGTGTGTGATGTAGCACACATTAAGCCAGAAACAGTGTGTTTTAAAAACCACCAGGAATTCTGGAATAAGACCAAAAGAATCCACGGACAGAATATATCTCATGCAGGACATAAAACCAGGACAGGAAACACGGAGTGCTTGTCAGGACACAATTAGGTTAAAACCAGAACAGGAAAACGCAAAGCATTTGCCAAGGCATAACTAGCACTGACATTTTACAAAAACCCAAAACTTAGCTGGGTAAACATGCATCTTCCTGCAAAGGAAATCACATTATTCACATGGGCACCCTTGCTTTCCACCCCTTTGTTATCATTTCCTATGCCCTACCATGGTTCAGCACTGATCCCAAACGGGAATGGATATGCTCATCAGTGCACTTGAGCGCACTGGGTAAGAATAAACATTCCCGGGTTCAGTTATAATCTGCAATCAGTGGATATTGTGGCCACCATCTCAGCATTGAAGTGGGACCTGACTTTTTATGTAGGCTCTCCACAGCAGAAACCGTTCTTTTTAATCTACTTTCTAACTTGAATTTCATACCCATGTAGAACCACCCATAGTGCAGCTGTGCATTTTCATAGAATCAGACCACAGGGCCATCCAGTCCAATCCTCATCATACAGGAATACATAATCAAAGCCCATTTGACAGATGGCCATCCGATCTCTGTTTAATACAGTGGTTCCCAACCAGTGGTCTGTGGACCACCAATGGTCTTCAAGAACTAAAATATGGTCTGTGGCCTCACCATTACCACACAGTTGCAATGAGAGCAACTATCTTGCGAAACCCTCTTGTCTCGTGAAACCAAGACTTATTAAATATGATTTTCTGTGGGTGAGCAAATGGCAACTACTGGATGGCATATATTCTGTATCAGAAACTAGATCTGATGTGGTATATCCAATTCAATTTTCTGAATCAGCACCACAAATAACCAAACCAAATCTAAAGTTGACCAAAAATTAATTCATAACCCTTTTGGTACTAATGTTGGAGAGTGGTCTCTGGTCAAAGTGGCCTCTGGTCAAGTGGTCCCTGGTCAAATAAAGATTGGGAATCACTGGCTTAATAGAATCATAAGAATTTTGTGAAAATGTACTATTCAGGCTGACAAGAGACAAAGTTGAATGAACTAACCAACTTTCTGTAGTGAAAGTTTGGAAAAAAATATTCATGTACATTATCAGGACCTCACTAATAAATCCTGCCCTAAATCCTATTGTTAGTGTTAACTACAATAAGTTAAATATTTAGTTCATATCAGCGTGAGAAGCACAAAGTGTACTGTATCCTATGATTTCCAGATGTTTTACTGTAGGACCCTACCACCAAATTCTTTCATTTTAAACTAAGAAACTATTCATTTCTAATTTTCTTGAGTTAATTATTATATTTGTCATGTTAGTATCTAATACATTGTACCAGTGTACTAGCATGTTTACCAGGGGAGGGTCAATGTTGATGTTTTATACTGTTTTTTATCGATGGCATTGAATTGTTGCCAACACTGTGAACTTCCCTGAGTCCCCTTTGGGGTTGAGAAGGATGGTATACAAATACCACAGATAAATAAATAAATAATAAAAAGCACAATATATTGTAATATTTCTATAATTGACACAAATGTACTGAATAATTATTATAATGTTAAATATGTGATCTATTTCTTACAGGCTGAGTTTAATTTGCAACCTGATTCACTGTACTTCAATGATGGCCAGAGAAGAATTGACTTCGTTTTAGTCTATGAAGATGAGAATAAAAAAGAGGGCCATAAGAAGAGCTTCCACAGAAAGCAAATGGTTTGACTTGCCTTTGATGGGATTTTTGCTTTTGTGATCCCAGGTTTCTGTTTTAGCCCCATTAGTTGCTTACTCAGAGACAGAGGCCACTTTATTCATGGTGTATAACAGGCATGGGCAAACTTTGGCCCTCCAGGTGTTTTGGACTTCAACTCCCACAATTCCTAACAGCCTACCAGCTGTTCGGAATTGTGGGAGTTGAAGTCCAAAACACCTGGAGGGCCAAAGTTTGTCCATGCCTGTTGTATAAGGTGAATCATTATTTCATAGACTCATAGGGTTGTAAGAAACCACAAGGGCCATCCAGTCCAACCCACTGCCATGCAGGAAAATACAATCAGAGCATTTATTTTTCACTCAAGTAGATGTGTGTTTGGATGTTCTTGTCCTAATTTTACTTTTGTTTGTTGTATCCTGTTGGACTTCACTCCTAGCTGAAAGAGATGTCATCCTCTGAATTTCAAATGTATGCTAGCAAGCTTTAAATGTTACCCATACCATATTGGCTTGTAACATGTAATAGTATCCACTCTATCCAGATATAATTTTGTTTAAGGAATGTATCATTACAAAATATACCTTTGAGTGACAGATTTTTTTAAAAAAATAAAGAATAACATTTTCCCTATACATAGAAAACCAGACCTATAGGAGGTCTCTGTGCTATATCCCTTCCTTGCTAGTTTTCTACAAGCAAAAACATGTTTGACATTGGGGTCTTGTTCTGTCATGGTATGGATCCACCCAAATTCAGAGGTGATCAATATGATAGTGACAAAAGTTGAAGAACAGGTCCTCATTATGACAACCCCTTGGCCTTAGAATCAAAGAAGCTTTGAGTTGGAAGCAACCACAAAGGCCATCTAGTTCAACCTACTGCCATGTGCCCAAGAGGCCCCAAATTGAAGTGGAATTTGTTGATCCAAGTCTGTATGTATGTGTGCCATATGCAAATGTATGCATTCCCAGTAGAGCATGTAGAGACATCATTCACACATTTTGCATAGCCAGAGGATTAGCTCACAAAAGCATTGTTATTATCAATGAAATAGTTTCCCCTGGGACTGCGAGTACTGCAATTCCTTCTTGTGTGGTTTTTTCCTGTCTTTCTTCACTACCTGACTTATATATCTATACATGAAAGTCCAAAATACTATGTCCTGGATTTGAAGAAATTTACTAGTTCTTTCTTGGGCCATGCCTACACAGCCAAAATAAAGTGGTCTCACTGCTCAGCTGCTGCATTCAGCCATTAAGCAGTTATTCCATTTATAGTGTCACCATACTTTTTTTTTCATGTCAGGAGCTACTTGAGAAAAGTTTCTTCTCATTTGAGAGAATTGGCCATCTGCAGGGACATTTCCCAAGGATGCTTTACCATCCTGTGAGAGGCTTTTCTCATGTCCCCACATGGGAAGGTGGAACTGGGAGCTCATCCTGTTAAACGCATTCAAACAGCTGACCTTCAGATCCGCAGTTCAGCCAGTACAATGGTTTAACCCATTGTGCCACCATGGCTCATACACTGAAGTCAACTCAATGACATGTAAAAACAACCAATTTCCTACATAGCTTCAGAAGCCACAAGAGTTTTATTAGGAATCACACAAAATCCTACCTAAAATGTATCAGTACATTGGAATAATTTCTGATTACATGGCAATCAGTATTTTCCTCTTTGGAAATTAGGGGGCCATTTTTATTATTAAATTCAATTTAGCATTTTATTGACAGCTGCATTTAAGTATTCCATATGCTCCTTGATCACCTTCCTGAATGTGATGTGGCTGAATTGTCAATGTGTGAAAAAGTGCCAGGTTTTTAATCTAGCCTCATTGTTTAAATTGAGTTTAAACAATTATTTGTTATTTTTGTGGTGTTTGGCTTGTGTGAATTATCAGGATAAGAACTTTCCCCAATTTTCCAATCAATCTTAACAGAGAAAGAGGCAAGCGTATCAGTCTAACCTGATCAGCCGTGGCTTACAGCTTGAAGCAACAAGGTCGGTGAGTATGGTTTCTAATGTATTTTTTGAAAGCATGAATTATTCAGTCCAAAAACAGAAGAAACTGCATGTTTACAGAAGTGGGACTGAAATCTATTGATGGACTGAATTACATCTTCCTCCATATAACTTTTTGGAAATAGGTTATAAAAGTTAAAATAACATCTATTTTTTATACATAGCTTCTCAGCTTTTGACAAGATAACTGGTATCAGTGAGCAGCTCACACTTAGGTGTAAATGGATTAATTACATTGAAGACAGATTTACACAATAAGAGCAAAGTTTGGAGTTCTGTTCCAACTTGGGATAACATTGTTTTTTCTGTAATGTTTGGAGTAACTCCCTCCATTGAAATGAAAGGCAAAGCTGGCTTATGCGAGCTCTAAGGTCCGTTGAGGGTGCACCGCTTCTTCAAATTAATGTGAGTTTTTTCTGAAATCCTGTAGATTTTAAATGCTTATAGAGTATTGCTTTTTCTGCCCATCTTCTCTTTCCATGATTTGTGCAGTACAAGTTCATCTCGGTCTACATTAGTGGACACAATTATAAAATGACTATATAGTTGTTAAAGATGAATTGCCATTGTTTAGCTCCTGTAATTGCACTATTCAGTCTTTGATGAAAATTGCATAGTGGCTCACTTCTCCACAACAGTGTTGCCTGCCTTTAGATAACCATCAGTGCATGTTGCTAAAATGGAATTGGGTGAATAGAGGGAAAATTGATCCTTTTCACTGGCACAATTTGCAGCACTTGTGCTCAATCGCAAGGTAATAATAAAAACCAAAAGCAAATCAAACTTTAGGCCCAGTGTGATCATATTGATGGTCATATATGAATTTTCAGTTAGTTTATTCCATTGATAATAATTGTCAATCAATACCTTTCCAGAAATCCAACTTTGCTTAAGTACTCTCACTCATAAGCATAGCTAGCAATAGGAGTTTGGTGTATGATTGCCATGTAAGATGCTTGACAGATTTGGTATTTATCATATCAGAAGCAAACCAAGGGTACAGTTGTAATCTATATAAATAAAAATGTAATGCCCATTTGTGGGATTAACATAACTCAAAAATCATTGGATGAATTGACATGAAATTTGGACACTATACAGACCAACAAGTGACCATCACTCATAAACTCCTCCCAAAAATAGCGGAAGGGACTTAAAAACCCAAAAAAGCTAAATGATGATGCAGTGCATGTGCAAAAATAACAACTCCCAGCATCCCTCTAGGCCAGGCCCTTTAGGGGAGGAGGATGCTCCAAATGCACTGCTTTCAAGCTGCAAGCTTGCTTCTCCTTGGATTTCTTTGAGCGCATTCCATTATTTCCTATTTGCTATTCCTGGACTGCAACTCCCAGCAATCCACCAGATAGATAAGATATATAAATTAGATAGAGACAGATAATAGGTAGATAGATCAATCAGGAGGATTGCTGGGAGTTACAGTCCAAGAGTAGGTAGAGAAGGAAGAAAGGAGAGAAAGAAAAAGGGAGGGTAAGGAAGGAAAGAGGTAGTTAAGGAAGGAAGGAAGGAAAGAGGGAGGGAAGGTTGGCCACAGTAACACGTGGTGGGTACAGCTAGTGTAATAAAAAACACAAAAAAAACTTGGCATTATATTAAATGTCCTTTGACCCGTACCTGGCCACTTGGAGTGCCTCTGGTGTTGCTATAAGAAGGTCCTCCATTGTGCATGTGGCAGGGCTTAGACTGCATTGCAATAGGTAGTATGTGGTTTGCTCTTCTCCACACTTGCATATCATGGACTCCACTTTGTGGCCCCATTTCTTAAGATTGGCTCTGCATCTTGTGGTGCCAGAGTGCAGTCTGTTCAGCGCCTTCCAAATCGCCCAGTCTTCTGTGTGCCCAGGGCATTTGGTGGAAGATTTGACAACTTAAAACAAGACATTATGTGCTTCTCAGTGGTGACATGTCATTATGTATGTCTTATATTAGGATGCTAAAAAGATCAAACTAAATTCTAAAGCTTGTATAACTTATTATTAGAATGAGAATCATCATATTTATTTATATCTAGCTTTTTTCAGAGCTGAGACCCCAGGAAGCTTACAAAAATTAAAAAGACTAAGGACACATATTTCCATGAGTTACTCTGCAAAGGGACTTTCCAAAAATCTAGTTCTAAATTCAATGAACTTGGAAGTAACAGAGAAGAATGTTTTCCAGGCAGCCGATAGTATATTGAATGTGGGAAAAGAAAAATAATGAGAAAGTTGTGGGTTTTCCACTGCTATTATTCCTCCCCTGGTGATAGACTAGTTAGGGGAAAATGGAAGGGAAAGAAAGTAAGGAAGGTTTGTTTGGCAAACAGTTGGGGTTGGCTCAGCACTGATGCAAGGCAAATGGAGCCAAGACTCAAATCTTGGCTTAGTTGAAATATGCTTTACACTTCTCAAGTTAAAATCACCCTTTCTGCTAGGATTAGTGACCAAGATTCTTATACTTGGGCATAGACTGTCACTTTTCCCCTTAAAAAATGCATCACTTGCATACTACTTGAGCCAATATAGTGAAGTTGTTTAAATGTTTACTTGTATTGTTTTTGCTATTATTATTTTCATTATATTTTATTGCTGTATTTTATGTTGTATTTTTGCATTGTTGTAATTGTTGGGCTTGGTCTCTTGTAAGCCACCCCGAGTCCCCTTGGGGAGATGGTGGCAGGTTATAAATAAAGTATTATTATTATTATTATTATTATTATTATTATTATTATTATTGATGATGATGATGAGCTGGGACTCTGTTAGACACAGGTTAGAGTTCTGCTTGGTTATAGAAGCCTAATGGGTGACAAATGCTCTCTGAACAAACCTTGCCAATAAAACCCCATGATAGATTCATCTTAAGGTCACCATAAGTTGGAAACAACTTGAAGGTACACTACAACAAAGAGCACCCCTTTTCTGCCAATGCATCTTGATCAGGACAACATCTCCAGTTATTGTGTCCAAAATGTTGTCTTCATAGGATTTTTTCTGGTTCTAAACAGATTCAAGAATGGGTTTAAAATGCAAAAAAGATAATACAAACAACATTTTCATATAATTTTATTGCAGGTCTTGGATGAAAAGTGTATATTTGTAAAAGTGCATGTGCCCTGGGAAGTCCTGTGCAGATATGCGGAGATCATGCATATTCGATTGCCTCTGCAGCCCAGTGATCTGAAAACCCATGATTCAGCATTTGGCTGGATTAGAAAATTCTTCAGTGTGGATAAAGAAATCATCAAGCCAGAGCAAGATTTTTTTACTGCTCCATTTGAAAATGACCGTTTATCAGATTTTTATATTCAAGACAAGGATACATTCTTCACTCCAGCAACACGGAGCCGAATAGTAAGTCTCAGACAGCTGTATGTGGATGGATTTATTTCTGTATTTAAGTTCCAGTAAAGGCTAATATTTTCTCTTTCTTATTTTTTTTAACATCAGGGAAGAACCATTGTTTTTAAATGGTCATAGCTTAAAGAAAGAGTCATAGTAAAGTAGAGCATATATTTGGCTTACTAGGGCCCAATTCAAAGTGCAATTGATTACCTATAAAGCCCTATACACTTCAGGTCCAATCTTTCTTTGAGACTGCATCTCCTTCTATGAACCAACATGGGTATTAAGATCTGTTGGGGAGGGCCTTCTTTCAGTCCCATCACTATCTCAAGCACACTTGGTGGGGACAAGAGAGAGGGTCTTCTCGGTGGTGGCTCCCCGGCTCTGGAATACCTTCCCTAAGGAAGTCATGCCTTCCAGGTGAGTCTAAAGACATGGCTCTTCAAACAGGCCTTTGATCCTGAGTAATCTATGGCCAATATAATAAATCATTGATAGTACTGGCCTGCACTTTGATTGGTTGTTATGACAGATAGCCAGCAAGCAGGTTCCACTGCGTTTTAGGAATTTTCAAATTTTCAAAATTTTATAATTTTATTAATGAGATTTTTATGCACTGTTGATTATACTTATGCCATTGCATTTATAATCATGTATTGTCTGTATGTGGCACTTGGAGTGTTTCTGTGAGCAGCCCCGAGTCCCTTTGGAGAGATGATGGTGGGGTACAAATAAAGATTGTTGTTATTATTATTATTATTATTATTATTATTATTATTATTATTGACCTCTAATTAAGTCCAATATATTCCTAGATGGGCTTTAAAAGGTCACGGCCTAAAATCCCGTAAGAACTGATTTAAGTATTCATAACCCATGCTGAGCTCATCTAGATAGATTATTGCCCTGAATCAATAAGGGAACTACCAGACTTATGAACACTATTCAGACAGATACTTTCAGCTGTACTTTCAGATGGTTTTAACTCCTACAATCCTGTGATCTACTTGTCTCCGCAACAGGTCAGGGACCCATTGCTTCATCATAGTCAATGTAATCGACTTGCCAGAAAAAACCTGGACTCCATTTTCTACTTTCTAGTATACATTGCCAATTTAAAAACTGTAGGCAGGGGACTTGTTTCTTTGTGAAAGAAAACAGAGGAATTTAATGACTTGGCAAATGCTTGTCTTGATGAGACATTGAATCACTATGCAACCAAAAATGTTGCAGTATGAAGGTACACTACTTCGCACTGAGTGCTATGCAGTTACCTTCTGGTTCCTAAGCTTTAATCAAATATTGTATATAGTTTTGAAATTATTGGTGATACATTCCAAAGCCTAGTATTAAAATAGAGGTAGATATAAATGGTCTTTCCATGTTTGTTGTAATTGCTCACTGGGAGCTGTCTTAGAGATATGCCTGTTTTCTATCAAGAGCTATAAGAATCAGTAAGTAGCAAATGTTCACATAATAAGATTATCAAGTTTGAAATATACAGTCTAGGATGGCACCATCTGAACAATGAATATTTCTAGAAGTCTTTGCCATAAAGTAGCCATTCTCTGAATTTATTCTAGCTTGTTTTCTACACAACTAGATCATGCTTTCTTAAGAATGTGTTGAATTTTTCAGGCTTACTTTATCCTTTGTCGTGGGGAATACGCCATTCGAGACAATGTGAAAAAGTTTGGGATTAATAAACTATTAGATTCTGGAATCTACAAGGCAGCTTTTCCACTGCACGATGTAAGTACATTTTTTAAAAGCTATTAAAACAAAATATATTATCATAAATATAAAAGAATTTATAGAAAACAATAGGAAAATCTTAGTTGAGCCTTTAACAATATGGTATATTGTTCTTCAATATTTTGCAAGCTACCACAAATGAGAAACATCACCTATTTATAAGATACTGTAAAGTGAGGCAAAGCCAAATAATGCACATACTGCACTTTAGGAATTTTGCCTGCAATTTATCCAGAGTTTATGCATAATGTTTTTACAATACCATATGGAATTAGAGTGATATGTGCAAGGAGCATGGAAGTATTAACTCAAAGACTTAATTCGGATCTGCATGCATTATTTACTGATACATCACACAATCCTAGACACTTGGGAAGTGTCTGACGTGTGATCAAATACAAAAGCCAGCATAGTGATCTTGTTTGCTGTGTACTAATCTTGTTATGTATCTAGTAATAATAATAATAACAATAACAACAACTGATTTTTGTATGCTACCCTGAGAACATAGTGCAATATATAAACAGTTCAAATAAAGAAAATGGCTACCAAGAAATTTTACAGTGATTTTAACCAAGGTTACATGTACATTATCCTACTTCTGGCCTGAACATGGTAGAAGGGGAAATCGCACGTGTGGCATCATGCTTTCCATCTGCATTGTTCTACTCTGTTGATCCATAAGGTCTAAATGATTAAAGAGGCAATTTTTGGCTTTCTTAGTTAAAAAAATTCAATCTGTGCCTTTTTCCCTCTATGGTACTTTGGGGGAAAATTAGCCATGTAAAAACATTTAGGAAGACTCCCTGTTACTGCGTTTTAAACAAAAATTTTGAAACGATTTGCCTTAGTTCTTTAGTATTGCACATTTTTCATGTTCTCATTTTTGTTCAGTGCTTTAGCTTGCCTCTTACATATGACAAGTAGCAATTGCCTCCAGGTTCATGGCAGCATTTCTTGTTGCTTGGTGCAGTTTCCAAGTCTGGCATTCTGTTCCACATTATTTATGGGAAGGTAATCTACAGTATAATTGTGATAACATAGCAGCACTCAGTCTCAGGATGAAAAACAGAATGAAAGAGGCACTTTCTGCTCATTTTCTGAAAGGAAAAAATAATCTGTTTTACAGTCAAGATTTAACCATCAATCACAGGATCCTGCCTGCCCAAATGAACGGTACCTGCTATACAGGGAATGGGCTCATCCTCGAAATATTTTAAAATTACAACCCCTGGATCTTGTCAGGTCAGTATGGATAGACATTAGAAAGATTGTAATGCCACTTCAAATATGTACTGCCTCTCGTCATCATTATATGGTAATTCAAACAGAAATGTAACAGCATAGTTAAGACTTTAACTGGTTTTTATATAAACCTGGGCTTTAGCACAGCTGGTCAGTCAATGATAAGACCTATCAACCCCCTTGTGACTGAATTTGAGCACAACCTCCAAGGTGCCAAAAAGCTGGACATCGACACAACATAACTCCTTTCTGTTCTGTCTGTCTCTGTCCTTTCTATCCAAAATGGTATTGCATGTTTGACATGTATGTGTACTGTGATCCGCCCTGAGTCCCCTTGGGGAGATAGGATGGAATGTAAATAAAGTGTTATTCTATTATTATTATTTCATTACATACAATTTATTTATTTTCTCCTCCCCCTTCTTTCTTATTTGTTCTTTTCATAACTAACATGGCCACATTTATGAAAAGTAAATCAAATATGCCAATTGTACACTTTTTGTGGTGTGACAGAGACGCTAATCAAAGATGTGATCTAACACATTTCATTGCTTCTGTGATCTAACACAGAAGTATTGCCTGTGTGAAGAAAATAAAACATCTCAATATTTTATTCACTTTAGAAAAAAAATCTCTGTGAAGCTTCTCAAAGACTGAGAGCTTGACCTTGTATAATCATACAGCTCTTTGCATGTTTGTAAACATGATCAAGACAACCATGCCTGTTTATATAGTAAATCAGAATCAAATTCCTATATAGAAGGAGGAAGACCTACAAATTTAATGGTTTTGCGAATGTTACTTACACTCATTTCATTGAGTTACACTGTAATTCATTGTAATTACAATGCATGGATATGAATATAATTTAATGCATGAATTAATCTTTCTCTCAATCCTCACTTATCCTAATCTTAGCAAAATTCTAGGGAAAGACGTTTCACACTTTTAGAAAACCTGAAATTTTAACATAAGTACAATGTTTTTTCCCCTTGTTTTGAGATGTGTTACCCTGGGAGCAAATTCCCTTTTTTTGAAGACTGTATGATGAGCTGAAATGCAATAAATAAAGTCTTCCTTTTTTCTGTATCTTCCTACTGAAATTCAGAGGGTTGCTGGGCAGCAAGCAAGATGGTATTACTGTCACTGAAATGTCATCCCTGAATACAGAAAAATCAAAAGGCCTGAGCATTTACAGTGTATCTACACCAGTGGTTCCCCACCTTTTTTTGACTATGGACCACTGATTTTTTTTTTGTTAGCAGGGACCACAAGGTTCAAGAATAATAAAATGTTAATCTAAAAATAAACTTTAATCAACCCTTTTAACATATCCATTAAACTTAATAGTAACATGAATTAAGAGTACTATTATAATATAAAAAGAACATTTTAAATAGAAAATTACGGTTTGCATCAATGTGATTTTTGAGCTTGCATCTTCTTTACAAGTTGGGTAATTCTGGGGCTAATATTAATGCTCAATGTTACACAGATATCAGTGCTTACTTTCAATCAATTCCTGGACTTCTTTTTAATTACTGGCAAAGCAGAAAACCCTTGTTCACATAAATAAGTTGTGGAGAGGAGTATAAGATAGCGCAAGGCAATTCCCTGAATTTTAGTATAAAAATTTCTTTTTTACACCAAAACTCCTTAAGAGAATCAGATTAAAATGCATCCTTGCCATTTTGAAATTCAAAGAGCTCTTCCTGGATTTCTTCTGCAACCTCTCCAACATTAGTACCAAAAGTATAAACGTAAAAAACAAAAGCTATATTGTCTTTTTCATAACAATTGAAATTCATTTCAATCATTGTTAAATAAGTCAAAAAATAATATGGACTCATTATCAGTAAAACTACTGGAGCCATTGAATGACTAAACAGCAAAACAGAATCACTGACACATCCAAGCAAGACAAAAGAATGCGCGAGACTGACTGATGCTGGGTGATGTGAGTATGTGACATGTGCTGTTGATCGCTTGCCCTCCTCTCGGTCTCCCACGCTTCCAGACATCCTACTCACCACCACCACCTGCATAGCAATAGATTCATTAAAATGAATAAAGGTTTAAAATTTTAAATATTTTGCAGACCATATTTTAGTTCTTGCAGACCACTGGTTGGGAACCACTGATCTACACTGTAAAATGAATGCCATTTGACACCACTTTAACTGCCGTGGCTCAATGCTCTGGAATTTTGGGAGAGAATTCTGGTGCCTCACCAAACTCCAGCTCCCAGGAGCCTACAACATCAAGACATGGCAGTCCAAGTGGTGTCAAACTGCATTCATTCTACAGTGTAGATGCACCCTTAGTTTTCCTGAAGAATCTGGCAGTATTGAAGTGGCTACCATGCACACTATTTCTTGCTCGTCCATTATGAAACACAGAGGGAATTGTTTTACTTCATTATTTAGCATGAAAGATTATGTAGTCACATTTGCAGTTTCAGAAGAGGTGTTTTTCTTCACAGGAAATATTATGGTGAGAAAATTGGGATCTATTTTGCTTGGCTGGGATTCTATACTCAAATGTTACTCCTGGCAGCAATAGTTGGACTTGGATGCTTTTTGTATGGATATTTCACCAAGGACAATTGTACTTGGAGGTAAGCTATAACAATTCATTTACTCCATTTTATACTGTATATGATCCAACAGAGTACTCCCCAGTTGTTCCTTATGTCATGGATAGCATGGAGAGGTTGGATGAGGGATTCCCAATAGAAGGCTCAGCAGTAGAACTGGAGCCTAGCAATGAACTGCAACTCTCTCAGCCATGTCCTAAAGGAACATCTATAGAAGAAGTGATTACTCAGCTAAGCAGACTGAGGAAGAGTTATCTGTTCCTGCAATTGTTGAGTTAAGAAAAGAAATTGGCTGTGAAGATCATTGAAGGCCCTTCCACATCCTTATAACCCAGAATATCAAGGCAGAAAACCCCACAATATCTACGTTGAACTGGGTTATCAGAGTCCACACTGCCATATATTCCAGGTCAAAGCAAAAAATGTGGAATTTTATTCAGCTGTGTGGAAGGGGCCTAAAGCTAGCTGAGAAGAGAGCCAACAACAGGTAACACCTGTGAAAGTAAGATTTAAGAGACGAGTATCTCGATTGCTGGCTGCAACATTAGTGCCTGAGTCAAGATCCTGAAGCTTTGGTCTCTTGTGCTCTCTGGAACCTTGGACATCAGCTTTGGAATTGTGGACTTAACCTTGCATCTTGCATATTACGGTCAATTGGCTCTTGACCCTGAAATGGACATTGGGATTTCCCTTTTGTGTATTCCTTTGAGTATTTGGCATCTTTGTGGACTATTCGGCTAGACCTGAGACTGTTTGTATATACTCTGCCTGTATTTAGGGGTCATGGCCTTGGCACCTTAGCTTGTTTTCTTATAACAAACTTTCCATATTAATCAAGGCTATAGTCTCACACATGGTGGTCCAGGAATAACTTGAGTTGACCTCAGTAGATTAGGTAGAACACATCTAAGTAAGATGTGTATAGCCAGGGGAGTAGTTCTTTTTCTACTACTTTCAAAGCATTGTCTAGTTTGCTCTAATAACGGCAGATAGAACAGAAAGATTTCGCCCTCTTTTTTGCATTCTCTTCTTTGTTTTTTCCTGCATTTTGATTCTGAGCTGATATGTGTAGGGACTTGATTTCAGAGCTCTTTTGAGAATGGAGATATTTGGAGAGATGTGGTTTAGAAAAAAAAACATAGATATGGAAAGGTTAAATACTTCCTCCAGTCACTTGTTTGCCTTGTCTTGCTTCACTGTTCCACCAGAACATGTTTTTCCTGTCTTAAAAGGGCCGTGTCAGATGAATATTACATTTGGATCTGATACAGTGATCTCTAAGGGAATGGGGGTATGAAAGTACACAGTTTAGCAATTTCTTTATTGAGTTATATAATATATAAATTGGTTTTTTTATTTTTAATAAAGCCAAGAAGTATGTGACCCTAATATAGGAGGAAACATCATCATGTGTCCACAGTGTGATCAAGAATGTACTTACTGGAATCTCAACATTACCTGTGAATCATCCAAGGTAAAAGCATTTTGCAGCATAAGGGGGTGTACTTTTTTCTTGTCACATGAAGTTTGGTTTTAAAATAAAGTTGAAAATACAAGGAATAAAAAGAATGCTTCACCATAATGCTAGTTCATTACCGAAGAGAAAAGGATGAAATATAACATAAGCTTACAGTCCTTTGCATAGAATGGGTGGGCTTTCAGAAAGAGCAAAACAACTAGAATTAAAGCTCATTACCTATTGGATGTGTAACTATGCAATCCAACCTTCTTGGGTTTGTCATTAGGTGTTTAGAATATAATGGAAATTCTATCCCACTAATGCAAATGAGCTTTAGCACAGCCATGAAAGGTACAAGCGATATTTCTCCCCACAACAGATTGTGATTGTAGAGTGCAGCACTGCACAGGAAAACTTTGGTCAGCTGCTTCCAATGTCCATCTCCAGAAAGACTGCAGGATGGTATCTAACCTGATAAAGTATGTTCAACCCTTTTGAAAATAGGGGAAAGAAACGCCAGAGAGAATAACAAATTGTTAACACTCCTCTCCACCCATTAAAATGATGGACAATCTCATTAGCACTGCTCTGTAATTTATGCAGCTGAATACACATTTTAAGAAATATTTATCTCTATGTGATTAAAGTGTGGTCAGCATGCTTCTAAAATTTTCTCATAGGAGATAAATGGAAATGATTCTACCGCCATTTGGAAGTCATTTTTTTTGTTCAACTTGTTAAGTATGTTTGTAAATAATATTGTCTTCCAAATTTTATAAGTTTCCTGTTGTTGAGAGCACTGTTTGTAATACTTCCCATTTCACATTGTATGTGGAAATGTCATTTAAATTTGAACTCACCACAATTTGTCTCAGGAAGGTCAGCTTATTCCCATGGGTTTCTTCCCTCAATAGCTGGAGAAAGTGTATGGCATCTTGAAGATTCACTTATTTAGTGAAGTGTTATAAGCAAGTATTATCAGAAAAAGAAAACTAAGTATAGGAAATGCTCTTTCTGCACAAAATGAATGCAGAACAGAGTCCAATGATCCAGGAATGATCCTCCACCATACAGATTTTGACATGTCATATGATGTAGTCAGGATGGTCTTCCTGTTGAATCCCCATTGTGAAATAAAGAGACCAGACACAAGATGTGGAGAAATAAATGGGCCATTTATTGACCTAATTAGAAAACTGTGAATTGGGCTAACTAGTTGTGGGGGGAGCACTGCAACATGGGTAATGACATGAGGCCAGGTATCATTCTCAGACTACCTGCTAAGCCAACCACTGGGCAAAACACCTGACCCCAGGGGCACTCCACCATGATGGTTTGCTATCCTGGCCAGTCCCTGGGAACCTCCCCCCCCCCCGAGCCATATAACCCAATAGGAGAGAGGCAAACACTCCAAGGTAAGTCCTATAAGAGATATTTTGGGGGACTCCCTAAGCCATTAAACCTATAGAGGTAGACCCAAAAGTCCCCTTCACCCCAAAATGGAGGGATGCCAAGGTGTACACTGATCCAAGCTCTCCCCCATTTCCTGCCAGTGATACCTAGTTATGACAGCCCCACCCATTTAAATTCCTTACTCCCAGCAGCTTTAATATGGGGTAGGTGAAAAAACTCCCTCTCTGAAGAGGGAAAAAAAATCCTACCCAGCCCTAGTATGTCATACACCAGAGCAGGAACACCTCTGACCTTAAGTTAATGAGAGTGTAGATAGAAAGCGAGGCTTTTGTAAACAGCGACAGAGTGCTCAGGCACAAAGAAGATCAGTTCGTTTACAGGAAAAGAGAGATAAACACCCTTTATCTGGTGTTAAGGTAAAGCTTGGTAAAATCAGCAAGCACTTTATTGAAGAATATAAGTAGGCAAAGCATTAAAATTAGCAAAACTGTAAAATTCCAAAACAAAAGTTAGTCCATGAACTTCAAGGCAAAACAAGTTTCATAGGTATATAAAACCATGAAACAGGCACAAGAATCCATGAAACAAGGCAACATGAAGAATCCAATACACAAATCAGGAGCTTGGTAAAAACTTGGTACATGAAACTAAGAACACTTGAGTGCAAGACTGACATGAAATTCCAGCGTTGACCCAACGGAGGCAACTCTTTCCCATGACTCAATATAAGGCTTTTCCAGATCCCAAAACCGAAAGGAAAGCATTTCATTTTACCTTACCACCAGATAATGGTTTTTTATCTCTCTTTTCCTGTAAACAAACTGATCTTCTTTGTGCCTGAACACTCTGTCACTATTTACAAAAGCCTCGCTTTGTATCTACACTCTCATTAACTTCTGCACCTGACAAATCATTTTCAGACAATTGCTTTGAGAAAGACTATGAAGTGCCTCTACCAGGAATGTGACCTTGCGAATCTTCCAGAGGCAGCTCGGGCCTTTCGTCTAAGCTTAGCTCAGGCCCAGGCAAACCCACATGCCCATTGCCAACAGACCCAGGCCCACCATCAGGAACATCATCCCCATTCCCATCATTAGCATCAGACACAATCACGGGCTGAACAGGCTGACATATGACATAGTGTGATGAGTATAACTCATATTGAACTGATGGTGGGAGGGTGGGTTGTGCTGCAGGAAAGCTGAATGCAGAGGGGAGGGGGTTGCCTGCAGGATGTTTCCCTAAGCCCCTCTTCTCTGCTGACTGGTGTGAATGCCAGCTGGAAATAACTGGTCTTTTGTGAGGGGATTCAAGTGCACCCCTTTGGCCATCTGGTTGGCTCCTTCTGTCCGGAAGTGAGCGTTCTCTCAATGTAATGGTTCATATTAGAACTATAATATGGCAGTAACAAATGAGACAGTGAATGAGAAAACTAGATAAAAAATGAAAGACATTTTCCATTTTAAGCTTTTACATTTAAATTTACTATGTTTTTCATATGATAACCTTATCACATTACAGTTTGCTTTCCATAGGTTTGGTTTTGGTTTATGTGGTCATAATACAACAGCTGGAGCAGCTGATCTGTGATATTAGTTCTACACATTCACATTATCATCTGATAGTTGTTTCCTTCACACAAGAACATCTTTGAAGTCCGCCCAAGGCTGTTCATATGTTTCCTTATTTTTATCCTGCTCTTCTTTTTTTAATGTATTCATTAGATGCTACTAACACTGAAAAACAATATCTCTTCAGGCAAACAAGTGGATTTTCAAAAACTTTTAATCGATGACATATTTGGCCATTTCGATTGGTTAAGTTTACATTTCTGAGATTTATAAAACAGCAGAAACTAGAAAATGGAAAGTTTCTTTAACGAGAAAACTCAGTGGCCCTGATCCAGACAGCTTCCATATATTAACAACCAGCATACCCATTTCTGCCAGCTGGCACCCATTTTATTTCCACTACAAAACAGATGGTCAGTGCCTTCAGCTGATGACTTGCGGGGAAAGGATGTCTCAATGAAAAGCTGTCATGGGAGTGGATCCACAGAGTTGCTCTTCTCTTCAATGATAATGAGCATTTTATGTTTGGCAACGTATGCAAGATGCAAGAATAACAACTGCAGAGCCATAGGTATTGGAGAATGGGGTTAGCGTCAGTGTGACGTAAGATAAAATCTGTGCATGAAAACCTCCATGCATACATAGGTTAAGTCCAACAGCAACAAAATAACAACTATTTGACTGTGTTAAAAAACAACACTATCGCTGTATGTTAAACTATTTTTTTCTTTGATATTTTCCAGAAGCTGTGTATATTTGATAGCTTTGGAACACTAGTGTTTGCAGTATTTATGGGAATATGGGGTAAGTCCACTTCAAAAATATACTTGGAATAGTATATTTAATCAAAATCAAAACAGAAACATTGCCTGCGTATAACAATATATATTATGCTTTGTGTAATAATGTAAGGTAGTACTATTTACTTGAAAACTAAAAACAATGACAAAATCAAAGGCCCCTTCTATACTGCCATATAAAATCCAGATTATCTGTTTTGAACTGGATTATATGGCAATGTAGACTGAGATAATCCAGTTCAAATCAGATAACTCGGATTGCCTGCTTTGATAATCTAGATTATATGGCAGTGTAGAAAGGGCCAAAGTGTTCACCTTTCTTAGACATGAAGAAAAACCAGTTATACGATTCAGTTCCTTACCCAGTTTATATGTGTACATGGGAATTGGTTGACATAAGACTCAGAAAGCCTCTTCCTTCCGGTTTTCTGCTATTGATTGGCCTCAGGGGTGAGGGAATCCTATAACAGTCCCTTCTTGATAGTTGCTTTAATAGAAAATAGGAAATCATATCTCAGAACATTCTCATTTGTCCTCTATTGGCATAATTCCCAGTATGCCATTTGAAAAAATGTCATATATCAATAGCTACTATATATTAAATCCAAATATCCAGTCCTGTCTATCCAGGGGCTTCATTCTGAATCTATTGTTGAACAACACAGTTCCTTGCTGCTCAAGTGGGAAAACACATCTGTTCACCAACTAGAGGCTAAAATGGGATGAGTGTTTTGATACTGAATACAAGCAAAAATGCACTCCATTACTAGTGAAGCAAACTGTGTACTAGACATGCGTTAACACAAAAAACAGAATTTCCCAAAACATACAGTACATAATCAGTCAGAATGGGAAAACATACTTTTTGTCAAGCTGCTGGGATTACCATATACATTCATATATATATTGTCCTCGTGTATAAAAGTGATGGGTAAATTTGGGGGCCAAAATCATGAATTTTGATATAACTCATTGATAAGTTGAAGCTCATCCCATAGAGAAGAGGGGAAAAGCACCAATGCAGCCTCAGGGGTACAACTCCCACTGAGCACTACAGCCATTTTTACGCCCAGGCATACAACAAGGCCAGAAGTAGCACTATGACTGAAAAAGTAGAGGCTGTCAGTGAGTATCTTAGCTTCTACCAGGATGGACTAAGCTCTTCTCTGAGAAGGGGAAGCCATGGCTTGGCTTTGGAGTTTTTTATTCAAATGGAGGTATGACCATAGATAAATTGAACCAGGTTTTTGGGGTTAATTTTTTGATTAAATGTCTAGATTTATATATGAATATATAGCATGTTTAGTCATATTTTAAATTCCTGATTTAAAAAAAAAACAGTTCCTTACCTTTCTACCTCAAAATTAATATGGAGTATCTTCATACCTAAGACTGGATCTACACTGCCCTATATCCCAGGATCTAATACCAGATTATCTACTTTGAATTGGATTATATGAGTCTACACTGCTAGATAATCTGGGATAAGAAGATTATCTGGGATAATATCTTGGAATATACATTTAAGCCGATGAGCCATTGTCCAAGTACACAACCGGAGTGTACAGCATGTTTTGTGGCTTTCTCCAGATTTTTTAAAATTGACACTGCAGTTAGCCACTGCTGCCAAATATGCTAATAGGATAGTTGATATGAATGATATTCTGTAGTCAGTATCAAATTAACTAAAGTCAGATTAGATACTGTTTAAGGTTTATTTTATGGTTCACTGTTGTTAGTCGCTCCGAGTACCCTCACGGGGTTAAATAGTTATTATTATTGGGCTATATGGCCATGTTCTAGAGGCATTCTCTCCTGACGTTTCGCCTGCATCTATGGCAAGCATCCTCAGAGGTAGTGATTCATTCCGGCCATGAAATCCTTCGACAATACAGTTATTATTATTATTATTATTATTATTATTATTATTATTATTATTATTATTATTATTGTTATTATTATTATTATTTGTTTTATATACATTTAATTTAATAAATTAAATTATTCTTGGACTTCATGTTGGATAATAGTAAACAATGGGCAAAATGATGGCAGTTCCAAGGATAAATTGTAGTCTGAGTAAATAAGTGAAACTACATATACTGGTTCTATAGATACAGGGGTTGTATAGGCAGTCCCCAAGTGATGAATAAGGTTTGTTTGTGCAGGTTTGTTCTTAAGTTGCATTTGTTGCATTTGTGTGTAAGTCAGAACAGCTACATTTTTTAAGTGCAACTCCAACACAAAGATGTGTGCACACATACACATACATGCTTTGGAAGGGTTAACACCCCGTGACATTTGCTTTGATGTCTGTGCCTCTGTTTTGCCTCACTTTCTGTCCCTGTACTCAGTGAATTTTGGAAAACTTGGCTGCTTGTTGAAACCTCTGAGGATGTTTGCGAAACATCAGGAGAGAATGCCTCTAGAACATGGCCATATAGCCCAAAAAGACCTACAACAACCCAAAAACAGAATTTATTTCCATAAAGTGTTTCTACTTTCCAGGGCCACATATTGCATGTAAATAAGCTTGCATACATGCAGGTGAATTCACAAAGTATTGAAAAATTGGTATACTCAAACCCTCATATTAGTTATGGGAAGCAGCAGCAGGTGCAACTATTATCAATTCCTCTGTGCATTCATTTATGCCTAAATGAATGAGTAAACGGGACTTTTGATGTTATTGTCCAGAAGGATTCTCATTCGTTTACAGATGACAAAGAATGGGGTTGTTGGATGAGTGGCAGATTCCTGAAACCTACAGTTCAAGATTGCAGGCAGGAATTTTACATTTTGGATTGTTTAGAATGCACCAGTTTTAAAATAGAAAAGTCCCTTTTGTTCTCTCCCTTCCCTTTAGGCAACACTTTTAGGCATGCAACCTTCAAACAGTGGCCCAACCTGAAAATCTCTCCCAACTTCATATGTCTGCATGTAATAAATCAGCACATGAAAAAGGCAACACTTACAAAAAGCAGGGTTAGACAAATGGATGCCCTCCAGATATTTTGGAGTACAATTCTCATAATCTATCACCATTGAGTATATTTCAATACTTATTTCTCTTCTCTTTTTTAATATTTGGTGAGCTAAGCAAGCAATAGACATAAGCAACAGGAGAACCTTATGGCAAGAGGGAAGAATTCTCAAACAGAATGTTTCTAATACCTAATTCTATATTCAGTGTGTTCAGCTTAGAAAGGCTTTTGGTACATTGAATTGATGGTATTTATAAGATCATTACAACTAGTGATAACTCCTGCTTGATCAGAGTACTTACTTTCTAGTGATTACATTTAATGTTAATTGAAATCTAATTACAGAGGACTTTAAGTAACATTTAGAGTAAATGAGCACTATGGGAAGGTTAATATATAAGAATGTGCTGTTGTTATATTTCAGCCAAATTTAAATTGATAGGAACAACATTCTTTCCACATTAATTGTGCTGCAGCTTTGCCCTTCATGATGTAATGTGAAAATTGATCCAAGATGCTCATTTCTAAAACATTTATAGTGAATATAATTTAGACTTCTTTCAACAATGGGCTTTTTAGTAATGCACAATTTCTAAATATGTAGTAGCAGTGATATTTCCAGTAAGCAAAAAACAGAGCCTGCAGTTGTTGTTGTTGTTGTTATTATTATTATTATTATTATTATTATTATTATTATTAAATTAATCTGCCCTCTCTCTCCGAAGGGACTCAGGGTGGTTTCCATTTTCCTGGGAGTAAATCCCATTCTGTAAACAGTTTTTGTTGTTCATTCATTCAGTCGTCTCCGACTCTTCGTGACCTCATGGACCAGCCCACGCCAACAGTTACATGGGAGTAAATCTCATTGACCTCACTGAAGCTTACTAAGTAGATATAGATGTGGTTTCACTTACTGTATCAGTCCTGCTATCTATTGGTAAACTGCTATGCACTGCCTAATAACAGTCTATTAAATTAAATAAACTAAGATAATAAGCTGAACTAACATACATTGCGTCAACAAAAACAACAAAAAGAGAAAGCAACAAATATCTTCCAACTCTCGAAACTTTGGTTATAACTGCTAAAATCTTGCTTCGTCTACATTAACTGCTAAATTAGATTTCTGCATTTTATTCGGTTCTCTAATTTTTTATACTACTAAATAATATATGCAACTGTTTCCTAAAGAAATAAGTGAAATCTTATACCATTTCTGCACAAAATTGCAAAGCAAAACAATGAAACTTTAATATTCAGCATAGACTGAATCACTACCTCTGAGGATGCTTGCTATAGATGCAGGCGAAACGTCAGGAGAAAATGCCTCTAGAACATGGCCATATAGCCCGAAAAAACCCACAAGAACCTAGTGATTCCAGCCATGAAAGCCTTCGACAGTACATTGTGTTTTTCTTTGTTTTCTCCTTGATCAGTTACTCTGTTTCTGGAGTTTTGGAAACGGCGACAGGCTGAGTTGGAATATGAATGGGACACTGTTGAATTCTTAGAACAAGAAGAGCAAGTACGTCCAGAGTATGAAGCAAGATGTCGTCATATAGTAGTGAATGAAATCACACAGGTAAGGAGATACACAGAGAGAGAGAGCTGTGTTTTGGTTTTGTAAGTTTTAGCCAGAATTACTATAAGGGGAAGCAAACACTTTGGATCAAATGAATTCTCTGTCAAGATACAGCTATGTTCATCACCCCATCATTCTTAGTGACCTAAGCATTTTTAGAAATATATGTTAGCAAAAATAATATTTATTTTATGGGAAAAGTCTCAGGAGTCCTAAGGATTATTAGGTGGAAAAGAAAATAAACTTTAGAAATGAGTTTAAACCAAGTTACTCTTCTCAGTACTAGGCTACATTGACTATTGATTTTGATATAAAAAGACATCTTACAAGTACTATGGTTACTTCTGTTATTATTAAATTTTGGTAGTATTAGTATTCAAGGACATTCAAAACAAAGAGATGCATTTGGTGTTATGTAGTCCTCCTAAACTTTTATGTTGACCATGTCTGATGGTATAAATTGCAACAACCACTGGATGGATACAAATAACATCAATATATTCTAAATACATTTCAAATGAATAGAAATAGTTATTCTGGCAAGACTGTTATAGAAATCAGATCAAACTTATGGTATATATGCTGTATTGGCTCATTTCTGTTTGTATTATGAATTATGTAGAGATTTGTTCAAGGTTAAAAGAATGTAACAAAATAATGTAACTTAAGGGAGAGGTACTATCTTTAGGACGGTGTAATTGAAGAGGTATTTTTCACAGGAAATGGCCATATAATGAGTCTGCCAGAATATTGATCTTTCAAGCTCAGTAGTATCTATGCTGAGTCCCCGGTAGCACAGTGGGTTAAAGCACTGAGCTGCTTAACTTGCTGACCGAAAGGTCACAGATTTGAATCCAGGGAGCGGTGTGAGCTCCTGTTGTTAGCCCCAGCTTCTGCCAACCTAACAGTTCAAAATCGGCTCCATGCAGTCATGCCGGCCACATGACCTTGTAGGTGTCTACAGACAACACCAGCTTTTCGGCAGAAATGGAGATGGCAGAAATGGACCCTAACCACCCCCCAGAGTCAGACACAACTGGACTTAATGTCAGGAGGAAATCTTGACTTTATCTAGTATCTATGCAGACTACCACCTGGTCTCCAAAGTTACAGGCAGGTTTCATTGAAGTTTCCTATGCTCGACAATGGTCCTCATGATGCAAAGGATGTGTTTACCATTGACCTGTGGTTAGTTTTGAAATAGTTATTAAAATATTTTAATTTTCTATGGCAAATCATACAACTGGCAAATCATACAACTGGTGAGCAGTCATACAGAAGCAAGGATCACCCTAAGATATTTATTATTAGAATGTTAGCTACCCTTCAGATTGGTAGTGGCCCATTGAACAACTCTGAAGTTTCTTAAAAGAAAGAAATATTTTAATTATCAATAAATAGTGTGGTCACTAATTCTGACATCCACAGAGGGGAGAAGAATGAGGGGAAATTTCCCCCTCCTTTTTCCTGGTTACATGTGCTTGTCTGGAGATCTCAGCACAGAGCAAAAGAGCTCTGAGCCATGTGACAGCAGTGATGGCAGCAACACCATATAAGGAATGTACAACACACACCCCAACACACGCTTCATCAGCTCCACTGGCTGCCAATTTGCTACTGAGTACAATTCAAAGTGGTTGCTTTAGCCTATAAAACCTTAAATGCTTCTGGCCCGGCTTATTTGTCTGAACGCATTTCCCCCTATGAACCATCCCGGGTATTAAGATCTTCTGCGGGGTCCTGGTCTTGGTCCCACCTTCTTTACAGGTGCGGCTGGTGGGAACGAGAGACAGGGCCTTCTCAGTGGTGGCCCCTCAGCTGTGGAACTGCAATCCCAGTAAAATTAGATCAGCCCCCTCCTATCCTTTAGAGAATAAGTTAAAACCTAGCTATGGAACCAAGGGTTTGGAGAGTAGCACAGGGCTATATGTGTAATCTTTTAACAGCTTATTTATGTATTTATATGTTAGTGTTTTAGTGCCCCCTGGTGGCACAGTGGGTTAAACCACTGAGATACTGAAATTGCTGACCAAAAAGTTGGCAGTTTGAATCCAGGGAGCGGGTTGAGCTCCCACTGTTAGGCCAAGCTTCTTCCAACCTGAAAACATGCAAATGTGAGTAGATCAATAGTTACTGCTTCGGTGGGACAGTAACAGTGCTCCATGCAGTCATGCTGGCCACATGACCTAGGAGATGTCTACGGACAATGCCGATTCTTTGGCTTAGAAATGGAGATGAGTACCACCCCCCAGAGTCGGACACAACTAGACTTAATGTCAGGGGAAACCTTTACCTTTACCTGTTAGTGTTTTATGATTTTCATGATTTAACACACAATGTATATTGTATTTTGCTTGTCTTATGTTAATATGGCATTGAATTATTGCCAGTTTCGAATCTGCTCTGAGTCCCCTTTGGGGTTGAGTTAGAGCAGGGGAAAAATACAATCAATCAATAAATAAATAAACATCGACCTGAGTACATGGGAAACAGGATGGCAGTGATGGCCTGTCTATACAGAGGACCAGGCCAAATCAGATTCAGTTCTGCTGTCCACACTATGGACAATATGACCAGGTCCAAACTGCTCTGACTTTTCTTAACACAAATTTAAACTAGGTTACCCATGACAACCACTGCATATTGCAAAATGTTTTGGGGACAGCCAAGAACAACTGCATACTTAAGCCCATCTAGTTAAACCCTTTTTGGTGACAGGGCCATTTCAGAAACCTGTCACGTGTCCATTAATTTGCACCCAATATCTTTTATATGAACCTGGAAGATGTGAAAATATAATCTATTAATATCTTGCATCTTTCTTACAATATTTTCACTCTTTCATTGCTATCAGTGATTATTTTTAAAAACTAGATTTTGTCATTTGAAAAGTCTCTTTTGTCTTTTCTACCTTTTGTGTGGTTTGATATTAAAAAGCAATGAAATTGTTTTTCTCGCTATGGTGTCCTTTGTTGCTTTTCTCTTTAATGCTTCTGTAATATTTGAAAACATATTTTTGTAACCAGTGAGCTACATCTCCTACCAATCTCACGTAGGGTAAGAGCTGCTTTTAGGCTCTGTTGTCATGGTCAGATATCTATTTCCTATTACACAGCAACAATATTCTACTTCTCTTTTAAGTCAGTTAATAACTGACTTGAGTAAATCTCAATTGCTTGCATCTCATGTTTTACAATGGCTAACATTAGTGGTTAGATTTGTGAAGCTGCATTATTTTGAGCATTTGAGCTAATCCTTGATGTCTCTCTCATGTCAGTAAAAGGAATTTTCCTATAATCTTTTCAAATAGCAAGCTTTTTATTTGATGTAAATGTAACAGTACTTTTTACTTTAATTCACATCAGCCACATCACTTAAAGGTGCATTTGCAATACATTAGGATCATTCCAAGTAAATGAGGTAAGGAAGGAACTCCAAGGGCTGCTGATCACAGTATTTTTAAATATGAAAATATGCTCGATAATGTGCAAAGGATTAGGAATTTGGACATGATCTTGCAAGCATCTGTTTTAGAAGAGTCCTCTTTCTCTTTTCAAACATGTCACTTGTTGTTTGAAACACCAAAAAGACCAACTTACACAGCCATTATTGTTGGAAATAGCAACATTCCTAAGTCTCCACTAGTTGTTTATCATATATATAATTACTTACTGTATTGTGTGTGTTTTGCAATTTTACTTAACCTCTTCGTTGTGGGAGGGGCTGCAGACCATGTGATCAAGTCAGGACATATTCAGGACTAAGACTCCATTTTTAGAGCAGTTTGCTTTGAGAAGCCATGTAGAGAAGTGCGCGTTTGCATCAGAAGCAGTGGGTACAGTTCTGCAGTTTATACTTCAGTAAGATGTATGCTTAAAGACTGCATTGGATTATGAACTATTGATTCTATGGAAGATGGCCTGTGTTACTACCTATACAGAGAAACTACCTAAAACCCTATTGTAACTGGATTCATAAGCAAAGTGCCTGTATGCTGTATATATGAAGTTTTGTGAGTAAACAAACTCTTTTACTTTTAAAGAAGACTATTTATTTTGTCTCTTGAGAGCATGTTTTAAAGGCAAATATATTTTAAGGGAGAGTAGATGTTTTTTCGGCAACTAAAGGAACACTTTTGAAACTGCTAAGGTGAACTGCAACTTCAAAACTCAAAGTCAATACCCACCAAACTCTTCCAGTATTTTCTGTTGCTCATGGGAGTTCTGTGTGCCAGGTCTGGTTCAATTCCATCATTGATGGAGTTTAGAATGCTCTTTGATAACTATAAATCCCAGCAACACCAACTCCCAAATGATAAAATCAATCCCCTCCTCCCAACCTGCAAGTATTCAAATTTGAACGTATCAGGTATTTATGCCAAATTTGGTCCAGTGAATATCAGATATTTACATTACAATTCACAACAGTAGCAAAATTCCAGTTATAAAGTAGCAACAAAAATAATTTTATGGTTGGGGATCACCACAACATGAGGAACTGTATTAAGGGGTCGTGGCATTAGAAAGGCTGAGAAACACTATATTAGTTTGAAAATTCAGTGTAAAAAAAAACAATTGAGCGACTCAATTGAGGCATTATTAACCAAATAAAATTAGTTGTAAGCATGAAATCTGAAATATTCTAGTCTAGAAATGTATCAGAAACCGAAACTGTCTCTGCTAAACACTGGATACAAATATAGAGTTTCTTTTCTATAAATGTGATGCTGGCCATCCAAGTAATTTTTCCTCAATCAATTTTCTTCACAGCAAGAAGAGCATGTCCCATATACAACCTGTGGAAAGTGCATAAGGATGACCTTCTGTACAAGTGCAGTCTTATTCTGGGTAAAAATGCTACTGCTATTACTGTTTACAATTTATCTTGCTTCTTTGGGATGACGGGTGCAGCAAAGAACAAAGTGATATGCCCCCGATACTCATGTGATAACATTCGTTCTCATGGCTGCACTGGCTCAGAAATGCTCAGGGCTTTGCCCTTTCTTTCTTTTTTTCTTTCTTTTTGAAAGCAACTTCAACATTAATATTTTCCAGAACATAGACAACTAACATCAGAGAGAAGGGTTCCAATCTGGAATTTTAAAAACTAGCTGTACAGAAGGATATTTTTGCCCTAGAAAGGCTTTGGAAAGAAATGGGGGCCCTTCCACACAGCCATATAACCCAGAATATCAAGGCAGAAAATCCCACGATATCTGCATTGAACTGGATTATCTGAGCCCACACTGCCATATATCCCAGTTCAAAGCAGATAATGTGGGAAGGAGCCTTAATCTGTGGACCTCTTGTGGAAGGGGCTAGGTCAGCACAAAAAAAATGGGAGAGAATTGTGCATGTGAGGACGTTTGAACTTGATCTGATTCTTAGATGGGAATGTTTTCTGGAGTCTTCCCCTGCAAAGACTGTCTGCTTGCTTTCTTAATCTAGAACTGTTTCCTTTTCCTTCCCCTATTTCCTGTTCCTTTCTACTATCCTGCATTGAAAACCTGGTTTCTTTGCACAGCTGGACTTTCTTCCTGATTGGCTATGTTCCTGGACTTCTGCCTTCTTATTCCAGCTTGATCCCCCAGTTTCTGAACCCCATCCATTCTCCGCTCTTGACACCTCTTGTGCACCGTGTTTCTCAACTAAATTACTTGGATTCTATGGGTTGTTCCACAGGTTATAGTCAAAAGGTATGTTTTAAGAAGTTAAGCAATATACATGTGCAGCAAAACGTATTTTGAGCTGCTTTTATTTATTATTTCATATATTCATTTTATAAAATCACATCATCTATCTCATTTCAATAATAAATATTCAGTAGAAAACAGGAGTCCTACTCTAGTGAGCCTCATCTACACCATCTGCTTGATCTCTATTAGCCCCAGATTGATGGTGAGATAGCTGTAAGTAATGGGCTGAATCTTCTGCAGTGTTGCATTGGGGCCCAGCTGAGCAGAGACTCGATTGTCACCTTGTTCACATGTTGTTGCTGCCACTTGTCACTTGACTATGAAGCTCATGGCCAGTACTTAGCTGTCTCAGTCATGTCTTCTGAGGTCAGGTTGGGGCACCATGTGATTAACAAGAAGTAAAAGGTTGCTCTTCCACCTTTTTGGCAATTGCATGGGCACCCCATTTTGACATTACATGTGACAAGCAATGTCCAGGCCATTGGTTGGTGAGAGGCAGCAGTAGTGACACATAGACAAGGGACATCCCAGCTGGGCCAATGTGGTCTTAACCTAGCTGACCACCAATAGAGTGCTGCAGAGGGTTCAACCGAGTACATGTGGCCACATCAATCTGGAGCTACATCAATCTGGGGCCAATCTAGATTAAGCAGACCTTTCATTATTCAGGATTTTGTTGTTGTTGTTGTTTTGACACTAAACAGATGCCATGAGCAGAGCCAGCACACCATGCATACATTAATAAAAATGAATCAGTATTTACATATGTAAAGTACATGTTTTATGCAAAAATGTTCTTAGGTAAATTATATTTTGACTTTTAGACCTTTGCTTGAAAATTTACTTTCTTGTTTCCCTAAGCCACACTTTTGATTAAATGCTTGTTCCATCCCATGAAAACAAAGTTATTCTGAAGATAAATTACTTTTCCTTTAACTTTTTCAGATATGTTGTTTCACTGTCATGTTATGGATGAATTGGATGTTTTTAGCTTTCTCATTTCTCTTAAGGGAGCAAGTCAGGTTCCTTTAATCTTCCTCTTGTTTCTCTTTAATTAAAACTAAATGTTAAAAGAAGTCAAGCCAAGCGTTTAAAAAAGCAGCACTGTAGAGAGCCTAATGAAGCAGTCTCAAAAAAACATAAATGTTATAATTATAGGTCCCCCAGTGTGTTGGCCTATTAGATGCCATTGATATCAGGTTTTGGTGGAGTTTTTTTTCTTCCACAACCTTAATGCACTTTAAGACAACTTCAAGAATTAATATCTTTTTTGAGATTAAAAAGAAGGATATGTAATGAATGGACAGAAGTACTCATGATTATGTTCAGGGTTTCTAAAGAATCAGCTGACCATTAGTGACAAAAGGATGGTATTTTATGAATCCCAGTGGATATCAAGAACAATAAAACAGTTTTTCATCCTGTAACTTCAAAACACTCTGAAATTTTCTCTCCCGCAGTGACGGAAATTGCTCTGTTTTTCCACAGAAGCTGTACAGGCTCTCCAGAAAATAATTTTTCACAACAAAAATGTTGGTCAGCAAAAATGTTGTGCAAAAAAAGGTCTTTTGGACAACAAAACTATATGTTGCAGGCAGGGCCGTAGCCGGGGGGGTGGCTAGGGGTTCAACTCCCCCCCCCCAAAAAAAATGTTTCAGGTTTTAAAAAAAACTGGTTTACTCAGGAATTTTAACTGGTTAACCAAATCCCCATGATAAGCAAATATTAAACAAGTCTCTCCAGAACTGCAAGTACTATCTCAAGCAAATTTTGACAATTTATTCACACGGTCATTACTTGCAGCAATAGCCGATATAGTGGAAGCAACCAAGTTGGCCCACCCATAACTGGCAGGCAAAGCCTAAGCCATTGGGGGGCGGGGGGTTAGATTTGAAGGCTCGCATGAAGGAGATTAGACTTGGTGGGAGTGGTTTACAGGGGCGGAGCTGTAGGCTATTTAAGGCTGTTCTGCTTCTCTGCTGTGCTCTTTGTTTCAGCGTGAGGTAGGAGGCAGGTTCCTAATGGGGAATTAGGCCTTTTCCTCCTTGCTCCCCCCTCTCCTTTTCCAGATTATAGGGTTCCCATTGCTGTGCCTATATATAGGTTGTTTTCAATATTAAACATTTGAAAACATGCATAACTTGCAGTCTTGAGTGTCCACCGAAGTTTATCAGTGGAACCTGATTTCTGTCAAAGTGTATTGACACAGTTTTCAAGTGTTTCCAATAGATGTTGTGGTATTCTTTTGCAACTATAAATTACCAATTAACGGTCATTTTCAGTTATTTTAAGACTTGAAACTTTGTAACTCAAATAGAAAATTGATTTAATTAAATCTAAATAAAAATATAGAATGAACCATACTATTTAATTTTTTGTGTTATGGAAGTACTCTTCATGATTTGCTAAAAAAGATTCACACATACACACCCCAAATATTCTTCTTGCTATGGCCCTGATGGCAGGAGCTTCCATTGCACTGAGTTTCTTTTCCTACAGGATAACACTTGGTTGCATAGTTTTCAAACTGGCAAAGGCTGCAGCCATAGTGACAAACACTTTGCCACATTGTTCACATGCGAGAATAGTATTCAATTGTGTTTTATATTTTGTGAACTTTTCCCAATTAGAATGAAAAGCTCTGTCCGTAGTTAGCACATTTTCTTGTGCATAATAAAAAGACAGTGAATGTAAGCTTTCACTTAAAAAATGCAGTTTCTCAAACTCTTCTATGGTTCTCAAAAATGTTTATGTTGTACTGGGAATGAAAAAGTTAGTGCAATTTGTGGGAAGTATAGATATACTGGTGTTTTCCCCATGTTAATTGATCTAAGGGTTGGAAACACTAAATGCAACCCCAAGTCAGGAAATTGACAGATTTCCATTCCATCTCCATCTTAACATTGATCAGGGAACATTTCAAAGCATTGTAGTTGTGTCTGTAGTGCGTGGCATAGTTTAGTCTGCATCAGTGATTCACAATCACCAGTGGGCTGGCAGTAACCTTTGGAATCCCAAGGGAAGCAATCTGGTGTGAAAAATAATATAAGGCAAGGTGCTAAAAGGATTTTCTCTTACACATTGATGCTGAATTTCAGGTACAAAAGAATTCCATTAGTGTTGCCCTTTAGTACAACAAAGACAACTGATTTGCTTATGATAAAGACACTCTCTGTATGATAGAATAGGGCTGAAAGGATAGAAAGGGAATGTGGATTCTGCCCCCCCCCCCCCATCTAATGCTAGTATAACTTCGTATAGATGGCATTATGAATTCTGTTCTTTTTCCTTCATCGGCAACAAGAGGCAAGGTAGACATTATTCTATGTCATGACAACTCCAGTATTACACTGTCACTCATGCCACTTTTGTGTTGGAAGGTGGGGAAATTATTCCAATCCTGCTTCCTCTGCATTTTTCCTTCCCAAAGTGGCTTATCTCCAACTGATTTTTCTGGGATTGGCCGTAGTGCATATAAAATTGGCCAAAACGTACCCTACCTTTGGAGAATATAGTCATCACCTGACATTAAAATACTGCTTTGCTGCCATAAAATAATAATAATAATAATAATAATAATAATAATAATAACAACAACAACAACAACAACAACAACAATATTGGACGGGACAGACTATAGTTTGCAAAAAAAAACATGAGTGAATTCTTATGAGTATGCACACTGCACATATCTTATTTGTCGTTCCAAAAATCCATGAAATATGTCCTTAGGTGAAATATATTTTGACTTGTCGGTCTTTGCTTGAAAATTTACTCTCTTGTTTCCCTCAGCCACACTTTTGATTAAACGCTTGTGCTATTCCATGAGTACAATATTTAAAATCAAGAACAATTGTAACCAACAGAAACTTACCAATATTTCAATGGGAAGTGTGGGCCCACTTTTGGCTGATGAGATAGTCAAGTTAAAATAGGATTGCTGTTGTTGTGTGCCTTCAATTTGTTTCACACTTAAGGCAACACTAAGTCTAAAGTTTAGGGCAGTGGCTGGGTAAATGACCTTCGGGGACCACATCTAACATGTAGGCTTTAGTTTAGGGACCCCTGTTTTAGATACTAGGGAAGCTAAGAAGAAGAAAGTTGTACAACACAAGGTAACTAGAAAGAGAAGCACAACAAGCTTTTATTGTTTTATATTGTCCTGAATGCTTTTCTTTTTTTAAAAAAAATCCTACTACCATTACCCCTTTTTGCTTTTTTTTCTACTCCCCTACTCTCTTTCTCTCTTTCATCACCTCTAGACTAGGCTTTTATTGCACAATAAAATGTCTTCCCTTATTCATGCAATTTCAGGGGAGGGGCTATTAGTCTTGTTTCCATTTGCAGCCCAGGTAGAATACCTGCATAATATCTTTTGAATGGCAGTGCTGGAAGCCATATGTCTGAAAGGATACTTTCCTGTATTTTGGGTGAGGTTGAAAAGATTTTTTTCTGTTCCTACCCAAGAATAAGGGTGGGATAAGTAGAATTTCCTTCTCAAAATCCAATATTTATGCATGTATAAAAATTAGATTTTGGGAAGGAAATATACACATGGTTTAGGGGCTGAGGTGGTGCAGCAGGTTAAACCACTGAGCTGCAGAATTTGCTGACTGGAAAGTTTGCAGTTCGAATCCGTGGGACAGAGTGAGCTCCTGTTATTAGCCCCAGCTTCTGCCAACCTAGCAGTTCAAAAACATGCAAATGTGAATAGATCAATAGGTGCCGCTTTGGTGGGAAGATAATGGTGCTCCATGCAGTCATGCCGGCCACATGACCTAGAAGGCATCTATGGACAATGCCGGCTCTTCGATTTAGAAATGGAGATGAGCAGCACCCCCCAGAGTTGGGCTCAACTAGGCTTAATGCCAAGGGGAAACTTTTACCTTTACCTTACACATAGTGTTAAATCATGAAAATCACAAAACACTAACATAGGTAAAGGCAAAGGTTTTCCCCTGACATTAAATCCAGTTGTGTCCAACTCTGGGAGTTGGTGTTCATCTCCATTTCTAAGCCGAAGAGCCGGTGTTGTCTATAGACACATCCAAGGTCATGTGGCTGGCATGACTGCATGGAGTGAAGTTATCTTCATACCGAAGTGGTACCTATTGATCTTCTCACATTTGCATGTTTTCAAACTGCTAGGTTGGCAGAAGCTGGGGCTATCAGCAGGAGCTCACACTATTCCCCAGATTCGAACCTGCAACCTTTCTATCAGCAAGCTCAGCAGCCCAGGGTTTAACCCACTGCGCCACTGGAGGGGGGGGGGTGTCCCGGTATGTTATTCCTAATGCAGTTAGTAATATGAATTACCTTTTCTTCCCTGTTTTCAGATCCTGCTCATTGTAGCCTCAGTTATTGGCATCATTGTTTACAGACTCTCTGTTTTTCTGGTATTTTCTGCAACGCTCCCGAGGCATATCAATGGAACAGAAGCAATCCAGAAGTACTTGACTCCACAAGCAGCAACTTCTGTGTCTGCTTCCATCATCAGCTTTATAATCATTATGATTCTGAACATGGTCTATGAGAAAGTGGCAATCATGATTACTGACTTTGGTGAGATTAATGCATTGTAAATAAAGTGCAAAAATGTTAGAGCGAGTGTAGAAAAATTTTGTACACTTGAGAGAAACCCTGGCAAACAGAATTATCTATGCCATGCCTTTTGCAACTTTCTTGCAATTGTCTGTGAGAACATCTGAATACTTCTGTGCAGGTTTTCTCAGTTAACAGAGAAATTATATTCAGTTCCTTGCCTAGGAAAGCCTTGCTATATAGCTAACATTCAACAGGAGTTGTTTACAGCTGTATATTTATGAAATATTACAGAAGGACTACCATAATAATGCCATTTATGAAAATGGATCAGCTCAGCTTAATGCATTCAATTACATTAGCGACTGTTTATAGATCGAGTAGCTATTTTCTTGTAAATAAATAGGGGGAAAGTCGCTGTTTGAAAGCTCTCGCTCCTAAATAAACAGTTAATCCGTTGCAGAGATTGCCAGTTTTTTACATTAAAGGAGCTGTCCTATTTTGATGCTTCTAAAGTAGCTGTATTTTAATATTCTTTCATTTGCATCACATCAAAATGTTATGTTCATTATGTTTGGATTTCCTGGAGGCTTTTTTGCATTGCCAAGTGCGGCTTGTTCTTGGGTGGAATGGCACCCCCCCTTTTTTTTATAATACATGGTCATAGAATTTGCATTAACGTCTACTGCACATTAGACAGTTCCAAATAATCTTTATTATAAATATGTAAATTGTATTCAAGTCTGTAAACATGCATATATATCTGTCTGTCTCCAAAGCTGCTGTTGGGTTGATATTTTTTCTCTCTCTCTTTTGCCCTGTAAACTGCAGAACTACCAAGAACACAGACAGAGTATGAAAACAGCCTGACAACAAAGATGTTTTTATTCCAATTCGTCAACTATTATTCTTCATGTTTCTATATTGCATTCTTCAAGGGTAAATTTGTGGGATACCCAGGTGACCCTGTTTATTGGCTAGGAAAATACAGAAATGAAGAGGTATGGATGCATCTTATGCTCATCATGTTTTCTGTCTTCTTTTTTTAATAATTGGAGATATTAGGTCTAGAGTAGGTATTATAGGCAGGTGAATATGGCATTTTCACAATTGTGTGTCTTACAGTATTTACTGTTTATTTATTTACTGTATTTATATACCGCTTTTCTCACCTCTGGGAGGACTCAAAGTGGTTTCCAACATAGTCATGACAAAATGACTATGTTGGAAATTATGCATTCCACTGTAGGCTTGATACACTTTGACACCACTTTCACTGGCATGGCTCAATGCTATTGAATTTTGAAACTTGCTGTCTGATGGTACCAGTATTCATTGACAGTGAAAGCTAAAAACTTTGTATAACTATAACTCCAGAATTCCATAGTATTGAGCCATGGTAGCTAAAGTAATGTCATACTGCATTAATTCTTCAATATAGGTGCAACTAATGACTGGGTATTTTCAACCTTTTCCCTAACAGCTATATTTCCATAGGGCAAAAATGCATTTGGAATTCAACTGCAAGGTAAAGCAGATATGGGTACCAATCTAGACTGAAAAATAGTAAGAAAGGAAGGCGTAATCACCTTTCTGCTCCTGCTGCTGCTGTTATAATTTTCTTTATGTGTTTAGAAGTCAATAAACACATTCTTTCTCTCATACACAAACTCTCCAGGCACTTCAAAGTAAGTCTCCAGATATATTTGTCATGGGGAAGGAAGGGCAGGAACAGAGTTCAGATAACTGCAAAACTGAAGCTCGGGGATTTGCCCAAGACCTTTCATGTATCTGATGTCAGTAGAAATGTGACTGAGTCCAACTTCAAAATAGGATTAGAAAGAGAATGTGTCATTTTTTTTCTTTATTTGTATATCACCCTATCTCCCCAAAGGGATTCAGGGTGGTTTCCAACATATAAGGCAAACATTCAATTGCTGGAAAGAAAACTATACAAACAATTACCTCAAAATAAACACATTTGACTATATAACACAATCTAATTTAATTTAACAAACAAAATAACAACTAAAAGCATCATAAAATACCAACATCCTGTTAAAACACACTAAAAATAAAAGCATTAAAACCCGTTTCATTGTAGCTCCATCAATAGAGGTCCAACAAACCAATAGCCAACTATAATGAATGTGGCCAACTATAAAAGGGCTGGGCAAGGGATAGTGCAAACAGCAAATCATAGGGCCAGGGAAGTGGATGAAGTGCAGGACAGTGCTATCTGGCTACCTAGGGACTGGGTCTAGGGACTAATCATTCTCGAAGAATTGCTTGAACATCCAAGTTTTCAAATCCCTACAAAAGGAGGACAGTGTGGGGGGTTGCCTGATCTCCTTGGGCAGCATGTTCCAAAGCTGGGGGCCACTACCAGGAAGGCCCTCTCCCTCATCGCCACCAACCATGGAACCACGGTGGTGGAAGCGAGAGGAGAGCCTCCCCAGCAAATCTTAGAGCCCGTGCTGGTTCATAGGAGATGCAGTCCCAACAATAGGCAAGACCCTAACTGTTTAGAGCTTTGTAGGTCATAACCTGCATCTTGAATTGCGACCGGAAACTTATCAGCAACCAGTGGAGTTGCTTTAATAGGGGCATCATATGTTCCCTATAATTAGCTCCAGTTAGAAGCCTGGCTGCCGACATTTGTACCAATTGCAGTTTCTGGGCCATTTTCAAAAGCAGCCCCGCGTAGAGTGTATTGCAATAATCCAATATGGATGTAACCAAGGCATGGGCCACCATGGCCAAGTTCAACTTCTCAAGGTACGGTCGCAGCTGGCACACAAGCTTTAACTGTGCAAAGGCCCTCCTGATACTTGGGCATCAAGCGGCATTACTGAGTACAGGAGGACCCCCAAACTGTGGACATGTGTCCTCAGGGGGAGTGTAACCCCATCAAGCATAGATTGGCACCCAGTACCTCAATTGGCCTCACGACTGACCAGGAGGACCTCTGTCTTCTCTGAATTAAGCTTCAACTTGTTAGCTCTCATCCAATCCATCACGACTGCCAGGTACTGGTACATCATTTTGATGTAGAGAATTCTATCATTGAGTTATTATTTGTGTAAAATAGTTTCTGAATAAAGACCTCTTAACTAGATGTTCGTCAATTAAAAATAAGCATGTCAGTATGTATATGTGTTTCATTCCTTCCAGTTAACAATTCATAAATATTTCAAGTTCTTTTTTTTTCTGCTGCTTTCAAACTTAGTGTGATCCAGGTGGATGTCTTCTTGAACTTACAACACAGCTGACAATTATAATGGGAGGCAAAGCTATATGGAATAACATTCAAGAAGTGCTTCTTCCGTAAGTAAATATGTTGATGAAAGGCTGTTGAAACAAACCTTTTTAAGAGATTGTCTGCAAAGTTGAACCTTAACTTACAATAAAAGTATAAGCACCTAAATAAAAATCAAAACAATGGTTTAAAATTGAGTTTTTTTGCAGACAACAATAGACTTGTTCTTCTTCAAACTTCTTCTTTAAGTGTATCCTAAAGAAAGTATTAGAGAGAGAAAGAGACTGAGGACCCTTCCACACAGCCATATAACCCAGAATATCAAGGCAGATTATCCACAATATCTGCTTTGAACTGAATTATCTGAGTCCACGCTGCCATATAATCAAGTACAATGTGGATTTTATACAGCTGTGTGGAAAGGGCCTGGGTGAAGCATGGGAAAATTAGGTTTAGATTAGTAGTACTGTCTCAGTACTGTCTCTTGCACCTAAATATCTTGACAACCTTTAAAATTTAATCCAAGTAGGGAGTGTACTAATTTAGGATATTACAAATGTTGGATATTGCAACTTATGTTTCAATCTAAAATGTGTAGAAGTTCTATTTATGGCCTTATGCAACTTCTCAAACATTTGAAGTAATCAGTGCATTTGGGACCTTTTTACACTAGCCTTTTGTTCACCTTAAAAACAAGATTACTATTACTGCTGTACAACTGAGATTGGAAAACCACTTTTTGTACTTCAGTTGTGAGCCCATGGTTGTAAATATCATTCATACCATTGCTTTCCCATCAAATGGACCACTTTGAACGGGTACCTAGTAGATCCCCCACATATTTTTCTTCCCCTCATCTTGACAGGCCTCATGGCTTATAACTACTTTGTGGGAGCTTTAATTAGAATAATTGGGGGGACACCACCCCCCTTAACTAGTTCCATTCTCCTAATCACAATGTATGGTTTCTTGAAGCTGATTTGGTTTAAAACATTATTGGAAGGCATTCCAGTTTGTCCCTATTAGTCTTTTATGTTAATGTAAGTTGCTTCCAGGACTGTGAAATTTCATCCAGACAGTGCTTTTAAACATGTGGACAGGAGTCAGTACCATAATTGACTACAACTCTGTTTTGATTTCTTGGAATCTGGCTGTAGACCAGCAACCAAAGGGTGTCAGACCACCACATTGAGGAGAACCTCTTGGATATGGGGAAAATGGACATCTTTTTAATTAGTTTTGCACTCAGCCTCCAAGCCCCAAGCTAGTTATTGTACTTCAGAGGGAAAAGTACTGGATCATTATAGGATGAAATGGAGTCATGACTGGGAATAGTAGACAGCAGGGAACTAAATAAATAAATTATCTAACTTGGTTACAAAACAACTTTCTTAGTTCATTTCATTGTCATCTTTGACAATATCCTCTTAACACTATTGCCTCATTATCTCCTGATGAAGCTGACATGCTCAGAAATCATAGAGCTTGCAAAATAGCGAACACTAGAGAGAAAATAGAAATTTTTGTGTATAATGTGTGTAATGTATAGTTTTGCCCCAATTGTAACCTCCAGAAACTTTTAAAAAATTATTTGTATGAACAGCCCAAATCTTGATGTTTAACAAGAAAAGAAGATTCAACAGCAATTTCATAGTGTCCAGAAGATAAAATAAATCTTACTGTTCATCCAAATTCATAGGTGGCTTAAGAATCTGATTGGAAGATGCTGCTCTGCTAATCGGTCAGAAAAGATTCTCCCACGTTGGGAAGAGGACTACCACCTGCAATCCATTGGCAAACTTGGATTGTTTTATGAGTATCTTGAAATGGGTAAGTCTCAATTTATTTCCTGGTTTCATGTGATAATTGCCAGATCTGAAAATTCATTTACAGTTCCATTAAATGTTTTTGACTAGTTAGAAAAGGCACAGACATTTGAAACAGACATGGCTGGGTATTCCATCATCACTCCTTGCTCTCCTTTGGCCACTAAATGGCCATGTGCAGAATAAGGCTGAGGGAGCTTACAGACAGTAAGTCTGTTGATTGATAGTAGGCATGATTAGGTTCGGAATCTTTGTAATTTGGAATAAATTCATAAATATTTCAAAGTTTTTAAGGAAATGGGAAGTCCCTTCGCCCTTCTTGAGTGAGAGAAGCAGTTTAACCCAGTGTGGATGGATTCCCTTAGGTTCTTTTGCCTCCCGCATCAGTCTTGGGTGAGAGAAGCAGTTTAAACCAGAGTGGATGGATTTCTTCCCTTTACTTCCTGCCCCCTCCCCCCCCCCCACCCACTTCTGGAATAAAACAACTACTTTCAATGTAAAGACCACCCAATGAAACAGGAAATAACATTTTGAAACCATTAATGAAGGATTCAGAAGTCTCTGAAGTTTTGAAAAGTTTTGAACCTTTTTTTTCTGTGAAAATCGGAATTGACTTTAAATCCAAACCCCCCACATCCGAAACGGGTTTTGAATCATTTTTTTTATCAAACAAGCCTAATTGGTAGTTCTACTTTAAAAAAAATGTACAAGTAATTTCAGAAATGCAGTATGTAATACCTTACATACTGTAGTTTTGAAATTATTTGTACCACTTCTTATGGTTATGGTCATTAAATATAGTAAGTTTTGAGTATATTTGCAAAAAACACTGAGCAAATGCACAAGAGTATTTAATGTGCATTAGACAGTACTGTCACCATTTTCTCAATTAAATAATGTAATGTATATTTTTGTAATAGGCTACCTTTTATTTGTCAAACCTTCATTGGTTTGAGTTGGCCTAGAGTAGCATGATCAGGTTTGACCTTTGAAAATATACACAGCACTTCTGCTTCAGCAATGTATTTCACATTTATCGTTGTCAGTCATACAGTTTGGATTTGTCACCTTATTTGTGGCATCATTCCCACTGGCACCCCTTCTGGCTCTCATTAACAATCTTCTGGAAATTCGTGTGGATGCTTGGAAGATTACAACACAGTTTCGACGCATGGTTCCTCAGAAGGCTCAGGGCATAGGAGCATGGCAGCCAATCATGCAAGGAATTGCCCTTCTTGCTGTGGTGACAAATGTAAGTGCAACAGTGACAACCAACTTCCCTTAACATTACTGGACAGATGTTTATTTCATTGTGTGATGGAATCTTCAACCAATTCTAATGTCTTTGTTTTGTGTAATTCTCTCATAAAATTCTGCCTTTTATTGAATGAGTGCGCTTTTTAACAAAAGACACTCCTCATACATGTATAGCATAGTAACTTATTTGCAGCAGCGTGATCCCGCACCAGTAGCCAAAAGTGATAAAAAGAACAAAAACACAGACTAATGTTGTATCTTCCTTAGGAGGCTTTTCTGTATAGCAAAATAATATGGTTTACACTATTTACAAGAACAAGGTTTCCATAACACAAATTAAGTTCTTTATACTTCCTTTTTTGCTTCCACACTGGGCTTCTTTCTCATGGAGATCAACAGCTTCACTCTCACTGAGCTTCCTCTCACACCGAATTTACACCAGAGCCTCATATAGTAGCTTTTTACACACAGCAGCCTTCACACTGGAACTTCACACACAATGTCTTCAACCTGGGGTTCTCTCACCAAAGATTCTCACACCAGGCCTCTCATACACTGAGGCCTACTAACTCTGAGGCCTACCTCACACTGAGGCTTACTAACACTGAGGCTTACTAACACTGAGGCTTACTAACACTGAGGCATTCTTATACTGAGGCAAACTAACACTAAGGCCTTCTCATACTGAGGCTTCTCTCATACTGAGGGAAACTAACACTGAGGTGTACTAAGCTACAGGCACACCTACTTATATTGAACTGCAGCTTTTGCTGAGTCATTGCATCCCTTTAACCCTTTCAGTGGTTGACTCACATTTTTGTAATTAAAAATACCTAGTTAATGTTTCATATTTCTGACACCTTTCACTAATATAAAATGGCTATTATTAATAGCACCTTTCAGACTAATTTATTTAAGCATGAGTTTTGTAACTCCATGAAACTTCATGCTAAAATACAAATAAGTCAAAATGGCTTCTTACCTTAACTCTTCTTTTTATCCACCAATCGACTAACATTGGTATCTCTTAGAAAAAAGTACCTTCTCTAACAAGTTGTATACACAGAGTCAGCACTGAAGAGTTGTTTTGCTTTGTTTTTTGAGATTTGAAAGCATAGGAAACACATTGTACTGTTTGTAGAGTATCTAGGTTCAAGTCCTCACGAAACTGTTGGGTGACATTGTATTAGGGCATTAAACAAGTCTCACCCTCGCTCTTTTAACTTGTCTTACTTCCCAGATTTGTGACACTAAAGAAAGAAGGGAAGGAAGGATTTCTACTTTTTCCTTCTGACCTAAGCTATGCAGCATCTAAACATCTCAACAGCAGCTAATCAAGTAGTGCAACTGCTAATTTTACATAATGAAAAAAATTGTACTGAAAGAAAACCTTTCTTCCTCCATCCACCCCACTATCACATTTGAAACTATAGACTACTACTAGCTGTCAAGATTTGGCAGGGGCCAGCTACTCAGAGTAAATTCCAGGCTATTAGGGCCCATCAGGCTTCTTTCTTCAGCCTCTCATCAACCATCAGATTAGTGAAGGAAAGCCATAGGAATGGGCCCACTCACAGTCATCAAGACAGTCAAACTTAATGCAATATTACCAAATAAAGTGTGCTTGTCAGTCACCAGAACAATGGTTCATCTTACCTAGAGGTAAGGAAGGCTTGACCCATTTGACCCAGGCCAGCTAAGCTTTTGAACTTCACTATGCTCTGCCTTCCAAGGAGAGAAAGACATAGTGCCGGGCTAGAACCCCTCAGCCATTAAAAGAGAGAGAGAAGGCAAAAGAAAAATATTATTTTCCTCTTCTTCCTCCATCACTGTGCATTAGAAAAAGCTGGAACAGGGGAGAAGGAGGCTTGGAGACATAGCTGATATGGTGAATTGGTGTAACCAGGTTGGCGGTCCCCCCGGATTGAAGGTGGTGCTGTTGAACGCCAGATCTGTCAATGGCAAAACAGCTTTCATCCAGGATTTAATCCTGGATGAACGGGCAGATCTGGCGTGCATCACGGAGACCTGGCTGGACGAAGCTGGAGGTGTGAATTTGACCCAGCTTTGCCCGCCAGGGTTCTCCGTGCAGCACCAACCAAGATCCGGGGGGCGGGGAGGCGGGGTTGCAGTGGTCTATAGAGATTCCATTCTTCTGACCAGGGCCCCCATCCCACAGTCAACAAATTTTGAATGCGTCCACCTGAGGGTGGGTGACCGGGACAGATTAGGGATTCTGTTAGTGTACCGTCCACCTCGCTGCACTACAGTCTCCCTGACTGAGCTAGCGGGGGTGGTCTCGGACCTGGCATTGGAGTCCCAACGGCTGCTTGTGCTAGGGGACTTCAATGTCCATGCCGAGACCACCTTATCGGGAGCGGCTCAGGACTTCATGTCTACCATGGCAACCATGGGGCTGTCCCAACAGGTATCTGGCCCCACCCACAGTGCTGGACATACATTGGACTTGGTTTTCTGTCAGGGATGGGAGGAAGGTGGCGGTGTTGAGGAGTTATCCATCTCTCCGTTGCCATGGACCGACCACCACCTGGTCAGCTTTAGACTAACTGCACCCCCTAACCTCTGCAGAGGTGGAGGACCCATTAAGTTGGTCCGCCCCAGGAGGCTTATGGATCTGGATGGATTCCTGACGGCTCTTGGGGAATTTCCCGCCGCCTCGGTTGGTAATCCTGTTGATGCCCTGGTAGCTCTCTGGAATGGGGAGATGACTAGGGCAATAGACACGATCGCTCCAGAACGTCCCCTCTCAAGTAGCCGAGCTAAACCAGCTCCTTGGTTCACTGAGGAGCTGGCAGCGTTGAAGCGAAAGAAGAGGAAACTAGAGAGCGTGTGGCGTTCGAATCCGAGCAAGCCAAATCGAACACGGTTTGTGTCCTTCCTAAGGGCATATGCCGCGGCAATAAAAGCCGCAAAGAAGACTTTCTTTGTGGCCACTATTGCATCTGCAAAGAACCGTCCGGCTGAACTGTTCCGAGTTGTCAGAGGCCTTTTAAAACCCACCATCTTGGATGGGTGCCCTGATGACTCGGCAGCTCGCTGTGAAGCCTTTGCTCAGTTCTTTGCAGACAAAGTCGCTTTGATCCGCTCTGGTCTGGATACCATATTAACGGCAGTCTCTGAGGATGTAACACGAGCATCTGCTTGTCCGGTTTTGATGGATTCATTTCAATTGGTTCAATCCAAGGATGTGGACAAGGTGCTTGGAGGAATGAGAGCTACCACATGCATCCTAGACCCCTGCCCATCCTGGCTTCTGAAGGAGGCCAGAGGGGGATTGGCCGAGTGGGTGAAGGTGGTGGTTAATGCCTCCCTCCGGGAAGGCAATATTCCAGCCATCTTAAAGCAAGCTGTAATAAAACCGCTGTTGAAAAAACCATCACTGGACCCCACTCAATTCGTCAACTTTCGGCCTGTTTCCAATCTCCCCTTTTTGGGCAAAGTCCTGGAACGTGTGGTGGCCTCACAACTCCAGGCATTCTTGGTAGACACGGATTATCTGGATCCGGCACAGTCTGGCTTTAGGCCGGGGCATGGTACCGAGACAGCCTTGGTCGCCTTAGTGGATGATCTGCGCCGGGAGCTCGACAGGGGGAGTGTGTCCCTGTTGGTGCTGCTGGACCTCTCAGCGGCCTTCGATACCGTCGACCACGGTATCCTTCTGGGACGCCTCGCGGGAATGGGTCTTGGAGGAACTGTTCTACAGTGGCTCCGCTCATTCCTCGAGGGTCGGTCTCAGAAGGTGTTACTGGGAGACTCCTGTTCAACCCCACAACCTTTGTCTTGTGGGGTTCCTCAGGGTTCAATATTGTCTCCCATGTTGTTTAACATCTACATGAAGCCGCTGGGTGAGATCATCCGGAGTTTCGGAGTGCGATGTCATCTGTACGCAGATGATGTCCAACTCTGTCACTCCTTTCCACCTGCTACTAAGGAGGCTGTCGAGGTCCTGAACCGGTGCTTGGCCGCTGTGACGGTCTGGATGGGGGCAAACAAATTGAAATTGAATCCAGACAAAACAGAGGTACTCCTGGTCAGTCGCAAGGCCGAACAGGGTATAGGGTTACAGCCTGTGTAGGATGGGGCCACTCCCCCTGAAGACGCAGGTTCGCAGTTGGGTGTGATCCTGGACTCATCGCTGAGCCTGGACCCCAGGTTTCGGCGGTGACCAGGGGAGCATTCGCACAGTTAAAACCGTGCGCCAACTGCGACCGTACCTTGGGAAGTCTGACTTGGCCCACGGTAGTCCACGCTCTGGTTACATCCCGTTTGACTACTGCAACGCTCTCTATGGGGTTGCCTTTGAAGACTGCCCGGAAGCTCCAATTAGTCCAACGTCGGCAGCCATGTTACTAACGGGAGCGGAGCGCAGGGAGCACAACTCCTCTGCTGCACCAGCTCCACTGGCTGCCGATATGCTACCGGGCTCAATTCAAAGTGCTGGCGTTGGCCTTTAAAGCCCTAAACGGTTCTGGCCCAACTTACCTATCCGAACGTATCTCAGCCTATCAGCCCACCAGGACCCTAGATCTTCTGGGGAGGCCCTGCTTTCTATCCCGCCTGCTTCACAGGTGCGGCTGGCGGGTATGAGAGACAGGGCCTTTTCTGTGGTGGCCCCGCGGCTATGGAACACCCTGTCCTTGGAAGTAAGATCAGCCCCCTCATTGATGGTATTCCGAAGAAGATTGAAGACCTGGATGTTCAAGCAGGCATTTGGTTAACTCAGTGCAATGAATGGTAATTGACTAAAGGACTGGCAATATGGACGACGAACTGGATCACGTTTTTAGTTAAGAGTTGAACTGGATTGGTATTGATGTATGAATTGTGTTTTATGTTTTTTTATGCTTTTAACTGTATATTGTTGATTGTTATATTATGTTGTAAACCGCGTTGAGTTGCCGGCTAGGCTGAGAAACGGCGGTATACAAATATAGCAAATAAATAAATAAATAAATACCAAAGCAAGACCATGCAGCTTTGCATGATGGCTATACTCTTCTTTTTATGGGAATACTTTTTCATCCCTTTGTTTATCTTGACAAAGAGTAAATTCACTCAAGAAAACAGTTGATGTTGAGTTGCTGTGAGTTTTCTAGGCTGTATGGCTATATTCCAGAAGCATTCTCTCCTGACATTTCACCCACATCTATGGCAGGCATCCTCAGAGGTTGTGAGGTCTGTTTAAAATTAGGCACGTGAGGTTTATATATCTGTGAAATGACCAGGTGGGACAAAGAACTCTTTTTGTTCGAGGCAAGTATGAATGTTGTCTTTGGCCACTTAGATTAGCATTGAATGGCACTGCATGTTGACTTTTTCATTCCTCCCTCACTCTACATGTTTCATTCCTCAGTGGATTTAACTATAGACTTTCCCCACCTTCTCACTGAGGAGTCATCTTCTAGCTCTGGCACAAGCCGATGTTCATGCACAGGAGTACCTAATAGACTCCTTGTAACAGAGAAAGGGGTGGGTTAAATTCATTTAAGACTAGGACTGTTTTTTGTATCTAAAACTCCTGGTGAGTGAGACCATCTCAAAAGAGCCACCTCTCCTGTCACAGCAAAGTCTGTTCCAATATAGTCTTACAAGACAAATCCATTACCTAAACAAAAAAGACATAAAATATATCTTCCTCTCTCTTTTTTCTGAACGGATACTTCTTTTATATGAAAATTTAATTCACAAAGATTTTTTAATCACGTGACAGCCCTAGTGAGTAGAAATACTATAGTGAGTAAAAATACTAGGTAGACCAAGGCTCCTTGTTGTCACATACCACCAACACAATATTTTAACTATATATTTTATATTACATGTAATATTACTAATATTATTACAGTATAATGGTATAATACAATATAGTAATAAATAATACTAATATTGTGCTATGGTAATTATATATTTTAAAATGTAATGTTAGTTTGTGGGATGCACATAACTCAAAAACCACTAGAAGAAATGACACCAAATTTGGCCACAAGACACCTAGTAACCCAAGGAGTGACTGTCACTCAAAAGATCACCAAAAAAGCAAATAGAACTTTTAAATCCAAAAGGTAGAAAAGAACACAGTACATGCATGCAAATGAATTCCATGGCCCTGCACCCTCTTGCGCAAGGACACAGCAAGTGGGAAAGGCACTGCCGACCATCCTCCAGAACAGATGGCATAATAGTGGGTCCAGTGAGGGGGGAGAGCCTCATCTGCCACCAGGGATGGAAGGAAAGAGGGATGGAAGAAAGGAGAAAAGGAAAGAAGGAGAGAAGCAAAGAAGGAAAGAGAGAAGAAAGGATGGAAGCAAAGAGGAAAGGAAGGAAGGACGGAAGGAGAGAAAGAAAAATGGGAAAGAAAAAGGGGGGGAGAGAAGAAAAGAGGTAGAGAAGGAAGGAAGGACAGAAGGAAAGAAAAAAAGGGAAGGAAGGAGAAAAAGAAGATGAGAAAGAGGGAAGGTTGGCCACAGCAACATGTGGAGGATACAGCTAGTAATATAATATATTGTACTTACATATTACTTGTAAGCTGCTCTTAGTCCCCTTTGGGGTCAGAAGGGCGGCATATAAACGTTGTAAATAAATAAATAAATTTCTCCTATAAATGACTGGCACAGTGCCTCTTTTATACTGTTCCCCATTTCTTTCCAATGCAGATATTCACTCTTGTTATACCTGCAGAGCTAGCAGCGGATGGTGTGTAAAACTACCTTGGGCTGTAACATTTTCTCAACACAGTTGACATCATTGTACAGAAGCATATGGTGTTAATTTTAAGACCAGCTTGCATTTCTTGTGGAATATGTGGAGAGCTCATTATACCTTGGGAAATAGAAATCAGATTTTTTCCTAATATAATTCTCTAAAACCAGTCTACAAATCAAGGGGTAGATGTTGCCTTTCAAAGACTGCACAGAAGAATTCTTTTTTTCTGCACACAGTTGATCGTGGCACATCTGGAGATCATTTGAAAGAGGGGCAAAAGGAAAGAGAAGTGAAGGTTTATGTGAAAGGAAAAAGAGAAAAGAAAAGAGATAATGTAAAGTGCATTGAACCCAAAACAGTTCTGTGGTGGCTAAGTGTATGTGTGATCACATGCAACACAATATTTTGATGCTAGGGGAATACCAGAAATGCTCCAAAACCTCATAATATGTCAAACATAATCCCCATTATATATATTTTTTTCTACAGTCACAAGTGCCCCGAGGTACTTGTACACACCTTATAAATGCTCTTACCTAGGAAGTAACTATAGATTCATTTTGGAGGGCATTTAGGAGCCTTTTAAAGACTATTTCACTATTCTTTATTCAGTGATTTTAACTAAGACATCTGCTGACAATGCTCTCTTATTTCTTTATTTTTTATTTCAAATGTGCATTTATTATAGTTCTAATTACTCGATCACTCATTGTATTCTAAAATATGTCATAGCCTGCTTTGTGAGAATTTTTCCTTGGAAAACAGCATTTAAAAATAATAATAATAAAGATTTGACAGCCCTAGTAACTACATCGAATGTTTACATAGTAAACATTTTCTTTTGAACCCCCATCCTTACTTTTTCTCCCAGTGAAACTGTGATGATCTGACATTAAGATGAAAGAGAATAGACTATTAACTGCTGAAGTAGCTTCATCTTTGAAGCCAAATCAACCTGGATTTCAGCAATACCTGAATAAAAGGCTGCTTTCAACCCACCTTGAGGACCTTGGAGGAAAGTTAGGATAGTTTATAAATAAATAGATAAACTGTTCAGCTAACATTCTTGAGTAGATGGACAAATATAAAAAGATGGGAAGTAATTGCTCTTGGCTTCTTCTCCATAGAAGACGCCACAACATTTCAGTTTATGGAGAATAATTAAGGAACTACAGTTTGATAGACTATAACTCATCGGAATGTTATAGTAAATATACGTTCTGTACCCGCCACGCATTGCTGTGACCAACCTTCCCTCCCCCTTTTTCTCCTTTCTTTCTCTCCTTTTTTCCTTCCCCCTTTTCTTTCCTTCTTTCCTTCCTTCCTCTCCCTTTATTTTTCTCTTTTCTTTCTCTCCTTTCTTCCTTCTCTACTTATTCTTGGACTGCAACTCCCAGCAGTCGATCTATCTACCTATCTCTATCTAATCTATCTATCTGGAGGATTGATGGGAGTTGCAGTCCAGGAATAGGAAACTGGAAATATGCACTGTATCATTGTTTAACTTTTTTGGTTTTTAAGTCCTTTGCACTTTTGGGGGTGGGGGTTACTCATTAGTTTGTTAAGGGTGTGTCAATTTGTGTCAATTTGTCCAGTGGTTTTTCAGTTATGTTAATCACATAAACTAACACTACATTTTTATTTATCTAGATTAACATTTACATTGTCATCTGATTGTCATCTGTTACAGTGGCAGAAAATGGAGGCTGTAGATTATCAGAAAATTGAGATAAATGCTTCAACATTTGATAAAAAATATTTTGGTTGCCATCCAAGTTACACTGCCCAGTTCCAAGCAGGAGGCCATCTTAGAAGCAGAAAGAATTAAGTCTTTACAATTTATCAAAACATTGTGGCAAACATCTCAAAATTTAACAGTGGCTTTTTGATAGTTACCCAAATTACAACAGTTTCAATTTAAAATCCCATATGGTGAATTTTCCAAAAGGCAAGAAAAGGAGGTTTGCTATAGTCATTGGTAAAATAATCTTTCAAAGTACATAAAGAATGAGAGTACAACTCCTAAAATTCATGGGGGGGGGGAGGCAGAAAAATTAGAGATGGCTTCCACACAGTTGAATAAAATCCCACATTATCTGCTTTGAACTAGAATATATGAAAGTATGGACTCAGCTAAACCCAGTTCACAGCCGATATTGTGGGATTTTCTGCCTTGATATTCTGGCTTATATGGCTATGTGGAAGGGCGTTGAGGTTCTGCTGCTAAAATTCCTGGGGTAATAAAGTTAATAAGAAAACAGAAGCTCCCACGGATGTTGAGAACCTGACAACATCAATATCAACACCAGGTTGATGTTGAATACCTGGCAATATCAACTACATTTCAGCTAGTACAAGAATATGCTTCTCTCACTTTTCAAGAAAGATGTGTGGGATGGGAAGGTCTGATTCTGTCAAGGTTATGTTCAACTTTTCTAATTTTCCTCTCTTTTCAAATGTAGGCAATGATCATTGCTTTTACTTCTGATATGATTCCTCGCCTGGTGTATTACTGGTCCTTTTCAGTCGCTCCATATGGAAATCATAGCAGCCACACTATGAAGGGCTACATAAACAACACACTCTCTGTCTTTGCTGTATCAGACTTCAGAAATGAAAGCAAGCCAGCTTTTCACCCCAGATTTGCCAATCAAACAACATGCAGGTTAGTTTAAAATAGTTAAAGCTATGTGTTTTTCTTTGGCTACATACTTACCAAACTATTTATATGGGAAGCAAGGATCTGCCATGTCTTTGTAACTACTTAAAGAAATAAGAAACAATTGTCAAAAGAAAAATTTAAATAACCTAAAAGCTTGTTCTTTAGGTAGTACAATACATTTATTTTATATAATCACATGCAATTGAAATGATGTCTTTCAATGTCATTTTAGAAGAGTTGTCCACTTCTTCTAATTAGATTATATTTACATTGTGCATTGTGTGGAAATTGGGAGGTGACCGTTTTTGCTCCCCCTCCTGGCCTTGCAGTATTATTGCAGAGCTTCTTGAACTGATTGCTTGAATATCTTGACTATCTTAGGTACCGGGATTTCCGCTACCCTCCTGGGCATGAATATCAATATTACCACAATATCTACTACTGGCATGTTATTGCAGCCAAATTATCATTCATCATTGTCATGGAGGTCAGTATCTTGCATCCTGAATTTTAACACATTTCTATCAGTACTTCTTTTTCATTCTTCCATCCAGAGCTTCCCAAGCTCCTATTATATTCCACTTGTGTACTGGGCAAAAAATACCTTAGAGATATCACTCAGGGCCCTTCCACATAGCCCTATATCCCAGAATATCAAGACAGAAAATCCCATATTATCTGAGTGTGGCCTTAGATAACCCAGTAAAAGCAAATATTGTGGGATTTTCTACCTTGATGTTCTGGGATATAGGCCTGTGTGGAAGGGCCCTCGGTCTGCTTAATTCACTACAAAGAATAATCAATTCTAGATGGAGATGTGAGGATTGGATCACAACAGTTTTGTTTTGATCTAAATGGATAAAAAAAATCTGGCAGGGTCATACTGAGTTTACCTGATGATGGACATATGCATTTCTGAAGACTATGAAAACTTCTTCAAGAAGATTTTCTCCATTATAGTGTGTTTAACCAGTTACCATACACCTTCTGTATTTCCTCTTGAGTTGAAGATGAACAAATTTTGAACAGATAGGTGCTGAAATTTCACTGCTTACATGTTACTAAGATAGGAATTGGTAAATTATTTTATCTATAATATAGCTATACTTGTTTTTTAAACTCAAAACTTGAATTTTTCAGCCAGCTAAACCTATCCTCTAGTGTCAGAGGTCTTCAGTGTAAGTGCCCTCTGCAAAGATCACAGCACTTCATGATTCAATATTAACCCATTCTTGCTTTTAAAAATTGTATATAGTTGTAACTGAAAACATGAAGTGTTGACAGGAAATTGCTCATCAGGATACTTGGGCCTCACAAAATCTGCACACACAGATTACTCCAGTATTGGTCCTTTTGGTTCATAATTCACAAGATCCTGCATCTAGAGAAATATTGTAAAATCCATCCAGTGCAAGTCCAAGATATCTCCCTCCTACAGGACAGAACTTCCTCCTGCAGGAACTCAGCTCCATGGCCTTTGAATGCCCAATGGAAAATGGGAAGCATCCGAGAAATATCTCATTGTGTTCCTATAACTGGATCCAGAACTACAACCTCATCCTGTAGTATGGCTTTGTCATTCCACATCCGGCATATAGCCTATAGATGCCTTTTCAATGCTTTCAATAGCTGCCAAGCAGCATTGGAAGTAAAGCCCTTAGGAGGCAAGTGAGGTTTATGTGTAGTGTTGTCCTAGTGTTAGGGAGGTAGTGAATTCCCCAGAAGCCTTGGTGAATATGTTACTAAGATAATGCTGTTCATTATGTAGTTGTGTAGTCTACATGGTACAAATGGCTCACAAAGGAGAATGCATTCACATATAAGCACTCACTGAGATAGAAAGGAATTGCCACTCAAGACAATATTTTTTCAGAAATTATCTTGCAGAGACAGTTCACTTTTCAGTTCAGTGGAAGAAACCAGCATGTGAGTATCCCATTCTGCAATCAGCTAGGGCTCATAGTTGAAAACCAAATGAGCAGAGCCAAATGGGTATGTACAGTCTAGATAATCAAGCCTAGGCAGGCAGTTTTGCACTGTACTAAGATAAGTATAGCAAGCACATCAGCACGAGTAAAGTCAAGAGCCCTTTTACATAAGGAGTAGCTGAAACAGAACCACTCTCAGAGATCTTTGCAAATTGAAACTTTTACCCTACTAGAACACTATGTGCATGCATATGTGTACTTTCCACTCACTTATGGTGACACAATGAATTTCATAGAGTTTTCTTTGGCAAGGAATACACAGACTTGGTTTGCCATTGTTTTTCTCTGAAATATATCTAAACTGTGCCCCTTGGTGTTGCAGCAGGTTAAACCGGCTGAACTGCTGAACTTGCTGATGGAAATGTTCACAGTTCGAATCCAGGGAGTGGGATAAGCTCCCACTGTTAGGTCTGGCTTCTGCCAACCTAGCAGTTCAAAAACATGCAAATGTGAGTAGATCAATAGGTACCTCCTCTGCGGGAAGGTAATAGTGCGCCACACAGTCATGCAGGCCACATGACCTTGGAGGTGTTTATGGACAACATCAACTCTTTGGCTTAGAAATGGAGATGAGCACCACCCCCCAGAGCTGGACATAATTAGAGTTAATGTCAGGGGAAACCTTTACCTTTTTACATCTAAAGTGCCTGACAGGTAGTACCTAGTGCCTGCAGGATATTTATGCTACTTGGAAAGTGTTTTCTCAAGCTTAAGTCAAATGAAACCTTATGTTGACAGCTATGCTTTGTATAGTCCTCTCTACCAACTTTAGAAGATTAGGTGGACAGCATATTGACCATTGATTTCCCAGCATATGATTTCTACAAAGCTGGAGGGATGCTGGTTGTGCATATCTCAGAGGAAAGGAATGGCAAACTCCCACCAAATTGAAAAAAAAGGAAAATCCCATGATTGATAAATCAGAAGCAACTTGAAGGTACACAACAACAGAAGCCATGTGTGCATACAGAATTCTAAACTGGGACATGAGCTAATAATTGGTTAATGTTTTTCTCTCTTATTGTGTTTGAATAGCTTGGGTAGCTGACTACTTTTATACTGACTTCTTCCCCACAGCATATCATATACTTTGTGAAGTTTGTTATTTCATACATCATCCCAGATGTGTCAAAGGAAACCAAAAGCAAAATTAAACGAGAGAAATATTTAACACAGATGCTGCTGCATGAGAATCCCCTGAAAGCTATGAAGAAAAATATAGGGAACATTGCTGACAAATTCATGAAAGAAGTTGATTGCACCCTCCGACCTAAATATGAATAAAGACATGATGCACCGAGAGTGAGGTTTATAAAGATGTGTGACTGTTTCAGCGAAAACAAAGAAGACTTGGATCTAAGACATGGGATCAAGTTCAAGAAAAGAAGTGAAAAAAATGATGAAATTTACAGAGAGGATAAATGGGGAAACCCCATCTTCTCAAGTTCTTCTGCATCTCAGAATGTTACATGAGATTCTGTTAAAATTTAGTAGACCTGGCAACCTAAGACAGCTGTGTTTAGAGTGCACTCTGAAACATCATTTAATGTTAACTTTTTTCCCTGATGGATTTTTGTGAACTGCTTTTTGAATCTTCAAACCAAGGCAGTCTTTTTCTCTTTTTACAAATACCTTTTCTATCCGGATTAATCAGTGCTCTGGATCATTTCTTGCAAATACATTTTTGTGGCATTTGGTTCCCCACCCGATTTTGTTTTTTGATGCATTTGTTGTCAGATGAATGGCAGAGAATTTCCAGGACATTTTCTACCTTGGTTGGTACATGGGAGTGGTAAAACCATACAGTGTGAATATGCATGGTACCATCGACCTGCAGGCTTCACCATTACAAGTAGAATGGGAACTCTCTGAAAATTAACATGCTTTTATCCAAATGCTCAACAAGGAGATTTGTGAATCTGAGCATATTGCCAGTTGAATCAAACTGAGTGCTCTCATCACAGTCCTCGTATAGATGCCTTTCTCTGGCCTTATTAACTGCACCTGATGCTGCATTCTGCACGTCTGGCACTAGAATCCAGCTCAAATAAATGAGCTCTGATGGAGCAGGAAAATGCTTCTGGAGATTAACATGGAGAATTACCAGGTGCTTCCCCAACCGTTCCAATGTAGCAATGGCACATCAGATTTTGAAAATGGAGGAAAAACCGAAAAGGGCATCATGGTGTCTCTGTGTGTATAAGCACTCATTAACATTTCATTCTTGTAGTTTTGTTTTATATACATTATTGTTTGCTTAAAATAAATCATGCAAGTGAATGCAAACACGTGTGAAAGTATAAATAATTCAGTAAATGCAAAAGTTTGATATAACACAGGAAAGCAATAGTTAGAATGGGTTGTACTGTCTGCTGAATCAAGATATCCATTTTCAAAGATTCTGACTTATTGATTAGAAATGGTGATGCAATCAGTTTAGAGTATTTGATAGTAATGGTTCCTTTATTAAGGCACTTTTACTAGTGATTATGACCAAGCATGTTGTGCTCTTATAACCACTCATGATGTATTCTGATATTTTGATTTTTAAAACTAGAATAATCCTATGGATATATAATTAGAAGAAAGATCCACTAAGTTCAATAAGTTTTACTATCAGGTAAGGGTTCAGGATTGTGATCAGCTGAAAATTTGTTAGATGTTGCTGGACATAACTGGATTCTGTAGTTTTACCAGTGTTATGGAGTCTTCCAATGGCAAATCTGTGGATGTAGAGGTAAGGGCTTCCAAGTACCATCTAGCTCAGTGTTTCCTAGCCTGTGGTCCTTGGACCACCAGTGGTCCGCAAGAACTAAAATATGGCCCATGGCCTCACTGTTATTACACCATTGCAACGAGAGAGATTGGTCTCGCAAAACCCTCTTATAGTGCTAAGTCTTATTAACTATGATTTTCTGTGGGTGAGCAAATGGTGATTACTGGATGGCATATGTTCTGTATCAGAAACTAGAGCTGATGTGGTCCAATGCATTTTTTTCTGAATCAGCACCCCAAATAACGAAACTGAATCTAAAGTTGACCAAAACCTTATTCATAACCCTTTCAGTACTAATGTTGGAGATTGGCCCCTGGTCAAGTGGTCCCTGGTTAAAAAAAAGGTTGGGAACCACTGATCTAGCTGTAGGCTTTTACTGGAAGACTGCAATTGTTGGTGTTTCAGAAGATTTAACACTGTTTCAAGGAACTCCCAGTATCGAGGCTGAGGTTTATTTATATTTAAACAAAAGCAAGGAAGCCAAGGCCATATTTACTTATAGATAGAAACTTAAGTCATAAATCTTTAATGGTCTGGCCAAAATAACGGAAATGTAGCACATAGCTGGAGTAACACACGCCAAAGTCAAGAGTCCATTTAATGCAGACAAGCCAAGTACTATACAGCCAGGTCAGAAACAAGAACAAACAATAATTGGGGTTCCAAACCAATGGTTAGATGCCAGGAATTCATTATCAGAGTTCATAAAACAAAGACCAAGAATCATAGGGTACAAATCGAAGTCAGAAGTCAAGCCAGATAGTCAGGAAATACAAACTGAAGTCAAAGTCAAAGCCAAGAAGTCAGTCCAGAAATCAGAGTCAAGGATTCAGGATATAACAAGGTCAGAAACAGGATTACAGGAACCAAGATTAATCTAGAATTCTAACTCAGGAGCAGCTGAGTAAAGGTCCGGGGCAAAGGTACAATGACATGACCTTCTCTGCTATGAAGAGCTATTATTTTCCAGGCTCTTTTAACATGAGGTCTCAGGAGCCACCCGCTTCAGCAAGCCAACACAAGTAATCCCAGAAGCTTGTGGCACTTTCTTTGAAGAGGAGGTCAGATTAACTTCTTCCAAACTTGCTGTAATACTGAGAAGAGTCCTCCGCTGAAGATCTGCCAGCTGAGACAGACCAGGAAAACTGCTGTCATGACACCCAGCTGCCAGAACTGACACTGTATGGTGCACCTCTACACTGCCTCAGCCATAAGTTACATGTGAAAGAGCATCTTAGCACTGGTGAGATGCACTGCACTGTGAGAGAGTCACTGAACAAGGCGTAGTTCCTTAGGCCACTGAGTGGGAGGGAGCCGGCCAGCCAGACACAGCTCCATAGTGATTTATGCATTGCATCTTATTTATCTTCTGTAGTTTGTAAGCCTGAGGGCAAATTAAGATTTTTGTAAGATGCTCTGAGTGCCTTTGTGACTAAAGAAGGTGGGCAAAAATTATCTATATAAAAATTAAAATAACATAAATATTTGCCAGTACAATGAGAAATTAAACCATTATTTGTCACTAATAGAATGCTAGCCTTACACTACAATCCTGTAACATATATTGAAAACAATGGATCTTACTTCTGAGTAGGCAATATAAGCTTACATTTTAGTATACTTACAGTATCCCTTGGTTCTCTGTATAACTGTATATCAGATATATGGCAATATTGTTAACTTTACCTATAATATGTATATGACAAGATCCTGAAAGTGGTTTATTCATGCAAGATTATGTATTATGAAGTCCAATATGTAATCTATTGATGCAGTGCCATTTTGTTTTCATCATAGTAATTGGAAATGTATTGATATCATACTTTTATGTCGATAATGTTCCATACTTCTACTTCATTATATGTTCTTCCGGACAACTTGTATGTATATATTACCTTGGAGAAGATAGGATTAAGAAGTGATATTATAATGCTCTTTAAATATCAAAAATATTGAAAAGGATGCCAGGTAGAAAGTGGAGCAAGGTTGCATCTTGCTGCACCAGACCAGCACAAAAATGATTATATTCAAATTAAAGAGATTTCACCTAAATATTAGGAACATCTTCCTAGCTATTAATAACTGTTTGACATGGGGAAAAGAGTATCTCAAAAGGCAATGGACTCCTCATCGTTGGCACTCTTTACATAGTATCTGGACATCTTCCATAATTTCTTTAGCTCTGCGTTCCTTCCAACATTCATTCTATAATCTGTCTGTCTATCTACAAGGTAAAATAAGATTAAATCGTGTTGAATACTACAGTTGTCGTGTTTGCTCAATCATTATCTTTTGTTCCCCAAAATTTTTCAGAGAGCCCCACAGCAACCTATGAGAATACATTTCACTAAACCTGTGTTCATTCAGCATTTCACTGCAATTTGTGTTCCTCCAGAGTTTGGAGGAACCCACTGTGAATCATTTTTAGAGGATTTCCTTGATTTATGATGTGTCGCATAAGAATATTGTTTTTATACTTTTTCTAGTAATATTTTATTCCATTCCAGCCTGAAATATATTGTTTATTTATTATCATGTTAATAAATTTGATTTAAAATGTAATTTTCTTAGTAGTGGTTTCATTCCTTAGTAGTGGTTTCATTTTTTAAAAAAGTTAAATTCACACAATACATTTTCTTGATACGATGTTTATTTATGCCTGTATGTTTTGAAAATCTAAACACTGAGCATGTTATTTGACATTCAAATACAAGTGTCTGTCTATGCTTTCCAGTTAACAGGACTTCTAGTTTATCTAAAAATTCTGATCAATAACTAAAGTAGCAGCTACACATTTCTTGGCAAGCTGATGGTGGCAGTAGTTATGAGTTGAAGATTTAACCCAGGCCCCAAGGCTACATGGGTAGGGACATGATATTTGTAAATGCTGCAAACACAAACAGCTACATTGTCAATATGTCTTTACCCACAACTGACTCAACTGTCAATACCCATCTGAGACAAAGTATATTAACCTCTGATTCAGTATCTGATGGCACTCAGTTGATCAGCAATGATAGTATGTGAGTGTATGTATTCCCTGGTAAATCTTCTCCACCCCACTGATAATGAATGAATTAATTAATTAATTAATTAATTAATTTTGCCGTGCTTGTACCCTGCCCTTCTCACCCCGAAGGGGACACAGAGTGGCCTTACAAAGGCAACAATTCAATGCATGCCACACATATACATATCTATAAATAAACAAATGCATTAAAGTCAAAAACAATTAAAACATCAAACATTAAAATATAAATTAAAATCACACAATCCAAGTTGTATTCCAGGACCATTCCAAAGCATCAATTATGGTATTTGTAATCTCTTATTGCACTGTTCCAATTTATTGACCAAAAGCTCAGTCCTAAAGCCATGTTTTTAGTTTTTCCTGAAGGTCACGAGGGAGGGGGCCAATCTAATTTCACTAGAGGCCATGACTGAGAAGGCCCTGTCTCTTCTACCCACCAACTGCATATGGGAAGGAGATGGGACCGAGAGCAGGCCTCCCCTGACTATCTTAGCCTCCGAGGTGGATCATAGAGGTAGATATGTTTGGACAGGTAAGCTGGGCCAGAACCATTTAGGGATTTATAGGCTAAATCCGGTATATTGAATTGTGCTCAATAGCAGACTGGCAGCCAGTGTAACTGACGTAACAGGGGAGTTGTATGCTCTCTGTACATCGTTCCAATGAGGAATCTGGCTGCCTCCCATTGGACCACTTGAAGCTTGAAGCTTCCAAACGGTCTTCAAAGGCAACACCACATAGAGCGCTTTGCAGTAGTCCAACCGGGAGGTAACAAGAGTGTGGACAGCTATGGCCAAGTCTGATTTTCCAAGGTACGGGTGCAACTGGCGCACAAGTTTTAATTGTGCAAAAGCTCCCTTGGCCACCACCAAGACCTGGGGTTCCAGGCTCAACGATGAATCTCAGAGAGCGCTCAAGCTGCGAACTTGTGTTTTCAGGGAGAGTGCAACCCCATCCAGCAAAAGCTGTAACCCTATACCCTGTTCAACCTTTCGACTGATCAGGAGTACCTCTATCTTGTCTGAATTCAATTTCAATTTGTTTTCCCTCATCCTGATGGTCACTTGCTGCTAAACACCAGTTTGGGACCTCAACAGCCCCCTTAGCAGCAGGCGGAAAGGTGTAATAGAGTTAAGGCCTTTTTTTCTGTACAGAACTGCTTCTATTCAATGGCATTTCAGATTTCTTTACAAAAATAGTTTACTTTAGATTCTGCCACAACGTTTTGATGGAGCTTTGATCAAGATTTTGATTAGGCTAGACAAAAGCATAAAATTATTGTCTGTACTTATCTGTCTGTATATTTAATATCCCACATTTCTTCGAATATGGGCTCCACATTTATTCAATGTTTTATTTTAAAAATACATTAAACGGTTTAATTATAAGCCCTATTGGATATTTAGAAAATAAAATATAGATTTTAAAAGGCTACCATGATAGTGCTGTGAAATTTCTGTAGTAATTATTAGGATTCAGATTTTTTTTTCTCACTGCTTCATATTATTTACCTTGTAACCGTCATAACCTGAACTGGCCACTTTTTTTAAAAAAAAAATCTTTCCTATCTGGTTTTCATGTGTAATACTGTACAACACTCTGGTTAAATTAATTCAATAGTCTGGTTTTGACCTGGCCCACTTTACGTGTCTGAACGTGTCTCTTCCTATGAACCATCAAGGACTTTAAGATAATCTGCAGAGGCCCTGCTTTCAGTCCCATGCTTGGTGGGGACGAGAGACAGGACCTTCTCTGTGGTGGCCCCTTGGCTGTGGAATTCCCTCGCTAAAGAGATTAGATCTGCCCCCTCCCTCCTGACTTTTTGCAAGACACTTAAGACTTGGCTGTGGGAGCAAGCATTCACAGAATAGATGGTTTTTATTAGCGTAGATGAGATTTTATGGACTGCATTTTTTTGGACTGATTTGGAGGACATTTTAAACCTAGCAAATTGTTTTTAAATGTATATTTATTATCATTTTATGTAATTGTGTATTTTATTGGTGTTTTTATATTGTTGGAAGCTGCCCTGAGTCCCTCTTCAGAGGCTGAGAATAGGACGCGATACAAATGTTCTAAATAAATAAATCTCCTCTACCTGTGTGTGCATGTATTCTTCAGCAAAGGGATCGTAATGTACACACCAGGCACATAATTTTATAAGGCTATTTTATCTTCTATGTTATTTTATTTTAGAGAACCATGGGGTGAGCTAATTGTTGTTGTTGTTCATTCATTCAGTCATTTCTGATTATTTGTGACCTCATGGACCAGCCCACGCCAGAGCTCCCTGTCGTCCATCACCACCCCCAGCTCCTTCAAGGTCAAGCCAGTCACTTCAAGGATACCATCCATCCATCTTGCCCTTAGTCGGCCCCTCTTCCTTTTTCCTGAGCTAAGTAAAAGGGGTGAATTTACATCCTTATTGAGCCTCGGATCCTGTGCAACATTGGGCTGCCAAAGGAATGGAGAAGTATTCATTTCTAAATAGAATGTACCTCAGAAAGAAGCACCACTGCCATGATTCACTGATCAGAGTTAATTGCTATTTAATTGTGTCTCTGAAGCAACAAATCTGTCCCTGTTCAACACCTGAAATGCATTCAAGCAGCTGCCTTTCTTTCAGTGCTGATGTGATTAGTTATCTCACGGATTCTGGGCT